GGAGGGGGGGGGGGATGTGACTGTCCAAGGGAGTAGTTGTCGGGGTCCGCTCGCTATTCGTATGGCCTGTTATTCATAAGGACCGCTATTCGTAACTAAACTGAACTTGAACTCGAACTTGAACTTGAAAAAGGGGGGTCATTATTCTTAAAAACCGCTATTCTTAATTGAATAAGAGTCTCGCTATTCACAGTATGAGAAGAGGGTTGCTATTTATAATACAAAATCGGGGTCGTTATTCATAGGGGTCCCTATTCTTAATACAAAATCGGGGTCGTTATCCATAGGGGTCCCTATTCATAATACGAGAAGAGGGTCGCTATTCATAATAAGAAAAGAGGGTCGCTATACTTTTATCGTATTATGAATAGTGATTTATGAATAGAGGGTATGACTGAAATAGTAAAATATCATAATTTTGGTATCGAATCAATCTCGCATGAATAGCGGTCCTTGTGAATAACGGTCCTTATGCCGTTATGAATAGTGGCCCCCAGTTTCGTTTTATGAATAGCGGTCTTTCACGTATACACCGATTCGGGCGACTTCTGGTGGAAGTGCGCCCTCATAAGGTGACGCCATAACTGGGGGGCGTCTGACTGCAGCTAGCTAGCTTACATTGCAACGGGTATGCTATACCTATACCGAACCTCGCCCAGGCCGGCCAGGGTCGCTGCTCCGCTAGCTAGTAACCGCTCTCGAGCTCTCTGTACTGTCAGCTGGATCGGAGAAGCCCCCCAGTTATAGCGCCGCCACCGGCGGGCAGGTACATAAAACCTTAATGATGAATAGCCGTTGGAAAAAATAGCGCCTTTTACGTCGTATTTTAGCCAATGCCGATATCGGCTTTTTTGTTGGCATTTTCGTGTTGGTTATATTAAACAACACGGTCGGCCCATGTATTGTTTTTTTTTAATTAAATAATTAATCAACAGTCACCGTATTTTTTTTTTACGTGGAGCTGAATGAGTATGATCGTATTGGCTGAATTTCACACATTTTAGGGGTCTAAAATTACCTTCATAGCAAATTTATGTTCTAAAAGGGCACTAGAAAATAGATAAGAATAAAATCAATAACCATGCACTTTGAAGGCATTTGCGGTCTGAATACAAAACTCAACTATACCTTTAAACTAAAGTGAAATACTTAACCTTTTAAGGAAGCTGAAAAATTGTAACAAATAGGCCTAGATGGTTTGATTGACATAGTAAATTATCCTAATTTGGGTATCGAATCATTCTCGCATGAATAACGGTCCTTATGCCTTTATGACTAGTGACCCCTTTCGTTTTATGAATAGCGGTCTTTCACGTATAGAAAGTTCAGCGTTATGAATAGCAGTTTTATGAATAGCGGTCCTCAGGACTAGCGATGTTACCCCTAATTGTCCTCGGGGTAATAGTCCTAAGGGGTGGTTGTCCTCGGCGGGGTTATTATCCGGGGGGAATAATCTTTAACGCGTTACACCTACATGTTCTTCTGTACTGGATCATGTTGGTTGTACTAAAGAAAACAAAATAAGTCAAAGTGGTGTCATTGATCTAGGTATTAGCGACCATTCTTTTACTTTCTGTACACGGAAAAATAGACTGGCTATAGGTCATCACAGGACTAATGATATCAGATCCATGAAAAAATATACAGAAGGGTCTTTCAATCTTCAACTATCTGTTGTTGATTGGTCAGGAATGACCGATTGTACATATATAAATGAGGCATGGTCAGTATTTCAAAATGTTTTTATCTCGAATTTGAATATGATAGCGCCATTGAAACGGATTAGAATAAAACAAAGATCAGAAACTTGGGTGACTAAGGATATTCTTTCCCTAATTCAAGAGAGAAATATAGTAAACAAAAAATTGAGGAAAAGACCAAAAGATGAGACGCTTTATAAAAGATACAGAGTATTAAGAAATATGATGAAAAAGGCTAAACTCGATTACTTACAAAACAAGATAGAAGAAAATAAACAAGATTCGAAAAGGCTTTGGCAGAATCTAAAAAGCTGAGGATTAAAAAATAAGAAGCGAAAAGAACAAGAATCTGTCATTAAAATTGATGGGGAATTATATCGTGATAAGATGGCCATCGCTGATGAATTCAATTCTCATTTCACAAATGTGGCTGCCAAATTAGTAGACACACTCCCCCCCCCCCCCCCTTTCCAAAGACTTTTTCAGCGCAGACAATGATTGTACTCATGATTTGTACGAAAGAAAAGGTGTACGTGAAAACAGCTTTGAGTTATTACCAATCAGTGAACAATTTGTTTTCAAAGAGTTACGTAAGTTGAATGTATCAAAAAGTACTGGGTTAGACATGATTCCAGCTAAATTCCTAAAAGATGGTGCGAAGGTTTTATTTAAGCCTCTAAGTTACTTAATGAACCTATCTATCTTGACGAGTACTTTTCCAGAGGATATGAAAATGCAAAAGTGACTCCACTTTATAAAAAGAAAGATAAAACTGATGTTAGCAACTATAGACCTATTAGTGTTTATAGCATCAAAGATTCTAGAAAAATCGGTCTGTGTTCAAATTGAAAGATACTTCAAAGAAAACGATATAATTTATGAATTTCAATCTGGTTTTCGACATGATTATTCGACTGAAACATGTCTAATTCATTTGACTGATTATTTGAGGACAGAAACTTCCCAAGGGCGCTTTGTTGGTATGGTGCTCCTTGATCTGCAAAAAGCTTTTGATACAGTTAATCATTGCGTCTTATTGAATTATGTTTTAATAAGGTAAGTTTAGATTGGTTCAGATCCTACTTATCTAATCGACATCAAGAAGTGGCCATTCATGATATTCGTTCCAAACTAATGCCTATAACATGCGGTGTTCCTCAGGGAAGCATTTTAGGCCCAATTCTATTTTCAAGTTATATAAATGATATGTGTATTTGTATAAAAGACTTTAAACTACTATTGTACGCAGATGACAGCGTACTACTCTATTCAAATCCTGATCCTAAATAATTATATTGAGGAAAAGCTCAGTGAACAGCTGTCTACGTGTGTCGATTGGATGACTGATAATAAGCTTTCTTTACACTTGGGAAAAACAGAAAGCATTTTGTTTTGTTCTAAAAATAGTTCTAAAAAGTCATACACACAATAATCAAGTAATCAAGAGAAGAGATTCTGTGAAGTATTTAGGCATTGAGTTGACTAGCGCAATTTCATTTTCATCTTTAGTAGAATCAGTTGTAAAAAAAAGCAAATTCTCGTCTGAAATTTGTGTACAGGTATCAAAGTTGTATGGATTTAAAAGCAAGACGTACACTCTGTTTTGTCTTATTCAATGTTTATTTGACTATGCTAACCCTGCATGGTAAATTAACATAAACAAGTCAGATCAAAAGAAGTTGAAGATTATACAGAACAAAATGGTGAGATTTGTCAACTGTTCTGGTCCAAGAACTCATGTTGGCTATATACAGCGAACTTTCTAAAGCTGGTTTTCTTGAAGTCGACCAAAGATCAAAACAACTCGTATTGCATCACGTGCATAAAATATATCATACTAGGTCGAATCATTATATTCGATCCAACTTCGATCTTGTTACTGACTTATGATTATAATACAAGAAATAGCCGATTCAACTTTAACTTACCAGAAAGAGTAGGTAGTATTGGAAATTCGTTTTATTACAATGCCATAAAACATTGGAATTCCCTTCCCAATGGTGTAAAGGAAATAGAAAACTATGCTCATTTTTAGAGGAAATTAAAGGAATACCTATAACTTGACAGTCAGATAAGAGAAGAAAATGACATGTTATATGATTGAAATTTGTATTCTTCTGCCGGTTCATACTCATTTGTATATACTTATGTTTTCGTACGTTATAGAAATTCTACAAATTCATCACTATTTTCCTCTTCTTCCTCCGCCTCTTTTTCTTCTTCTCCTTTTTCCTTTTTTTCTTGTACTTATTATCATTTCTATCATCAGTTTAATGTTGTTATTATTATTATCTTTAATAAATAATTCTTTTATTTTTCTTATCTGTCTGTAAATAATTATTACTATTTTAAATGAATTATTAATTTTATACATGTCTGTAAGGGACCCCACTGGAAATAAGCTCTCGAGCTTTCGTGGGTTATCTGTTCAAGCTGACTTATTTCTGATCTGTTATTATTGTATATTGTTGTATGTTGGAAGCTTGTCGAATAAAAATAAGGGGAAAAAAAAAAGGGGGGGGGGGGTAATTGTCACGCTGGTAATGGGTCGGGGACGATTGCCCACGGGGAATTCGTCTTGAGAACCAATGCAAAAATACGATGCGATCAAGACAGTAAGAGACAGGTGTGGGATGAGGGCAGTGTCTTCTTTTCACGTTGCCGTCCCCTCTCTTTTTTCTTCTCTCCCGAACCTTCTCCGACCCCCCCCCCCTAAATCCCCCCTCTCTCTCTCTCTCTCTATCCCTCCCTCCTCTCATTCCCTCCCCATCTCCCCCCCTCTCTCTCTCTCTCTCTCTCTCTCTCTCTCCCTTCCCTTCTCTCTGTCTCTCCCTCCCTCTTTCATTCTCTCTCCCCCCTCTCTCTCCCTCTCTCTACGAGTATACGATCCCTTATCTGTACGTCTTTTATTTTTTGTTTTAGACCCTATTATCGACCTAGCTTGCAGCTCAAATATTACAATATTCCATCCATTCAGGTTCTCATACAGTCTATTGATATATTGGGGAATATGGGTACATAATTCCTGCATCCCTCGTCCCATCCCCTCTTCCCCCTCTGCAAATCCCCCCCCCCCCCCCCCCCCCCCCCTCCTCCTCCTCCTCCTCCTCCTGTATTAAGGCGAGAAGCGAATCTTTTGTTTGTATATATTTTTTAGACGAGACAGATTGATGGTCCAAATTGCACGTAGCCAAGGCCGCAAGACTTTACAGCTCGTCTACATTAGACTCGACTCATATATATTTTCGGCCTCGCACTGATATTGCATACGGGGTACAGGTACGCACTGCGTGCCATCGATTGCATATTCCTCTCAGCTCACCGAGAGTTGCTATGCGGATCGCTGGAGCTGGAGCCAAGATATAGATAACAATCTAAATTTCTTCCTAACATAACATTTACGGCATATCAGTCATTCAGTAGATTCACTAATCAAATCAGGATCAAACAATAACACAGTAAGCTGGGCTACAGCCTACAGACGTATTTAGTTTAGACAAGTGTTGATGACTGTCGTTGAAGTTGTGGCAAGCAGAGCTGAGTCGCTAGTCGCCGTGTCGAGTCCTCATCATACCGTCAGCTTGGCGGGGAAGAAGGGAGAGAGACACCTACTGATTTCAGTGTGAGAGATACAGACTCAGAAGTCAGATCAGCTCAGCTCAGCTCAGGAGCATCCACTTGACAGTAGGCGACTGTCATTCTACACTGCACGGCACGGGTGGGTAATTTAATTATCAGTCTTATTCCAATATTCTAACGTTTTGTAGAGCCTCTTTTGACAGCTTTTGAGTTTGAGTGACCATGGTGCATGGTGACTGTGTCTGTGCTGAGACTGAGTGATAGGTCTACATCTGCCTCAGTAGACGGTGTCAGACAGAGGCCAAAATTCCGGATTTTGGTGATCCAGATTTTAATTATCCTCTTAGTTAGCTGTCTGTCATCAATTATCCCTTAAAAAATCTCTTTAAAAATCCTCTAACAAAGCAAGAAAATTTTCCTTTGAAAGTATTTTTAATTTTAAAGGGATTTTTCTGTCTTGTTGAAATAATCCCTTTAAAGGTTGAACAGTTGACCTTTAAAGGGCAAGGGATTATTTCAACATTGGTGTCAGACAGAAAAATCCCTTTAAAAATCCTTTCAAGGGATTATTTCAACCTTTAAAGTGTAAGGTCAACGTTTCACTTGATGATTGGCTGGCATATGGTTTTTAACGCGCTATCATAACCTGCGCACAATTGAGACGCGTTAATTGTGCATTACTTTTGATTGAACGGGTGATGTCATAATGCTTATCTACGCATTATTTTAGTTATCCAGATTATTCGTAGCCTGTCTGTCACCAGTCTGTCACCGACGTAAATGAAAAAACTAGATTTCTAAAATCTGGTTTATTCATGATGGGTCAGGATTTTTCTGTGTGACACCGCCTCATGTGACGTGTCTGGAGTCGGGCTAATACTCCAGGGCCGGAGCTCCGACGCCTTCAGAGCCCACATACATGCATGTAGGAAAACGATTCAAACAGAAACAGTGGGTTCGTTGGGTGACATTTTTTTGAAATGTAAGGAAGTAGTAATTACAATTTTGACTTAAAATGTTTTTCAACTCCTCTGGGCATCCGTTCAACCACTTGAAATTATAATTTGAAGAAGTCTTCAATGGATTCCTCGTCCTAACCCAATTCATCCCATACAAATTCATTTGTCCCATAAGATTGATAATATTGATAACACTAATAATTACTACTAATATTAAATAGATTGGTGTTGGAAAAGAATGTTCAATCGATGTGGTATAAATGAAGCCCCCCCCCCCTTTCTTTTTTTCCGCCCACCTCAGTTTTTGTTATTTTACATACCGGTACATGTAGACAATGATCATGAAGTAACTTGGCCGACTTGTGGAAAAAATCACAATCGACAATTGAAACCGTCAAGTATTGAGGGTTGTGAGTCCGGAGACTCTGGAGGCTGAACGAAACCACAGCCTTCCCTTGTGCCCTTGAATTTGATAAAAGTATGCATCAAATACATGTACAGTACATGTATATGTCACATGGATTGGAAAATAGTTATTAAGTTAATCTTTTTCTTTTCCCGGCATCCATGTGACTCTTTTCCAAATGTACTGTACTCTTTTCCTAATGTACTCTTGTTTTGTATTCACTGATTTTCTTTGTCTTCCCAAATAAATAATAATAATTATTTTAAAAATTCAGTTGTAGGACTAAACATCATAAAAATATGTCCTTTACAATATTCTCTAACATACATGTACATTAACTCTTGAAAGCTTTGTAAAATATTGCATGTAAACTTCTTCAAATTACTGTTTTAAATCAACTGTCCGGACTACTACATGATAGTCTGGACACACATCTGGGTATACAGTACATGTACATGTACCACCAATCACCAAAAAATATTAAAATCCAAATATTACTTCTGTACAGATTTTGCAAGTTTGAATGACACTCTCAAAAGCCTCAATTAGCAACTTGTGTCTGTGATTTGACGATAAGAGTGTCACTGAATTCATGCAACTTGAGTAAATATCAATCATAATTTTCTCCACAATTCACTCATGATATCAGTGCATAAAACCTCGGACTTTGGTGTTTCTAGGACATCCCCAACAAGAAACAAAACATACCTTTTGACCTTGGGATAACACTTCATAGAACATCCATATGAGCATTTACAATGTACATGTACATGCACTATTTGCAAAATTAAGGAAAAAAGAAGTAAAGAAATGAGAGAATCTGAAAGAAGAAAAAATATTGCATGATTTGCATCAAACGATTTTTCATTATCTTTGGGTTACACCAATATTCTGTACATTTATGTATACATGTACAAGTACTGTACATCGTTAAGCATGTTATAATTTTCAATAGGATTCCCCAAAAAACTTTGTATCTCACATCATGCTGAAAACAAAATCAGAGAAGGGATGATCTTTTTGTTCTTCTCTTGACCTTTAAGAATGCTGACAGAATGAGATGCTTCATCATTAGCCCTGGGGGGTGTTTCACAAATCTTGCCATCAGTGACAAATTTATATGACAGTTAAAGCTAGTGAAATCCTTTTTGGGGTTGGGATTAGGTACCGTATTGTGTTGGGTCCAAAGTTATTAAAGGAATTATTTAATGTGTGTAATTTCCGATCATTTGATTGTTTATTGTTCCAGTGAACAATTATACATGCACATTTACATGTACATTGTTTGTTGTTGCTTGAACATTAATGTAAAAGGCTCAGACTTAGTTAACAAGAAGAGAAATAGGATACAAAACATTTGATAGATCTACAGTTCATTCTGTTGAATAGTGCATACTTGCAATTGACTAGTAGTGATATTTCATATCAGGCTATTTTGCAATCTGGAGCTAATGAAAACACACCTATTGAGACATCTGTTGCTCAAGGGCTTATCAAGAAGTTCTATTTATTGAGAGGCGGCCCACGTAAAGACGTTTCCTCTAGGCTTTGTCTGAAGGAAGTCAGAATTGTGAGGAGAATTTCCTCAGAGAGTGATGACCTAGACCCCTTTCTCACTCACTTCCTAGACCGATCCAGGCTAGACCGGTCTAACTGTGAGTGTGAACAGACAAGCGGTCCAGGAAGCGATCTTCTGGATCAGTTTGCTTCCTAGATCGCCTCAGACCGATCTACATGTAGCATGCAGTGCGAACTTATATAAACATACAGTATTTACATGTAGGATCTGTGCTGTGGTCAAAATTTGTTTTCATGCATGCCTCGGAACATGTACATGTACTTCCTCATCCCTCATGTAGAACGGTCATACATGTACATTTACATATTTTTTTAAAATATGTATCCATATGTTTTTTTATATATGTTTTTATGTATCCATATTATGTATTATGTATTTGTGTATACATGTACATGTGCAAACTTAGGGTCTGCATACAATATGGACTGTATAATGTATGTGAGGCCTATGCTATGGAAAACAAAATATTGAATATCAAAAATGTATTGCTATTCATATATTGTATGAGTTTAATATATAATGTTATTGCAAATATGGTAGTACAATTCAAATTTCTGTATATGTACCAAGCAATTTGCCAAGGTCGTTGAAGCACAATTATATATCATACCTGTATGTACAAAAGAATTCCAATTTTACTACCATAATGCTACCATGCATAATACGTGTAATTTTACTTTGTCACTGATGTATACCTTGTAAAAGAAACTGCAATTTGGCTCTCGGGCCGCGAAAGTTTTTTTTTTTTAAATAAACCATTTTAAATAAATGAATAAATTAAAAAATACTTGAGGGGATGAAACCCCAGGTTTGAGTATAAATTGCCATGAAGATACATACATGTACATGATGTATACCTCTACATGTACAATGTACATGTATCTCTAATGTTTCTGAGAGAGAGAGAGAGAGAGAGAGAGAGAGAGAGAGATTTTGGAAATAAAAATTGAATTTGAAAAAAATACTGGGTACCGGTATACAATGTGTACCGTACATGTATAGAAATGTATATCTGATATATAAAAAAGTTACTTTCTACAAGCACGAGTACACATTACATGTACAATGTACATGTACATGTAGGCCTACACATGTATGCACATTGTACACAGCTCCACAGAATCATCTCGTACATGTACATGTATATTTATTTGTAAAGTTGCCATGAAAATCAGTGGAGAAATCTGTCTTTGTTTTCCTGAATACCAATTCAGACAAATTGGTTGCAATTTAGGATTTTTTTAGAAATTGTTGTCTGGGAAAATAACCAAACACAAACAGTGTAATTGACATATTTGAAATACAGACTCGCATTATATAGGGGTATTTGTCCTAAAAGTGGTGTTTGATAATAAATGTGCATCTTTACAGGGAGAAGAAAATGAAAGAACAAGTTTTCTTATGCTTTTAAAAATCTTTACCGTATGAATTGTTGGGATACATTTGCATGCACCATATTTGTTCAAAAACACAAGAAAGTTCTCAAATGACCCAACGTATTGTACCGGGTAAATGTAAATGTTTTGGCATTGGAGAGCAACACATGTACAGGTACATTGTATGGGTACAGTATGTACACAAGCATTTCTATTGACGGCTGTACAGTGCATGAAGCGCTGGATTTCTCTCACCCAAACCAGTTAATAATTCCATGCCAGTGGTTGCTATGGCGATAGCAAGCATTTCATTAGCGAGTTTTAGATCGAGGCCTGCATACAGTATGTACAGTGTACACTGTGTCTTGACTAGAACTGCAATGGTGTTTTATTCAGGCTTGATATAATTTGGATTATATATTTATAAATGTGCTCTTTAATGTGAGCTCAATTATTAATCCCACAAATGGTATTGGCCATATGGATGCAAATGCAAAGTACTTAGAGAGAGAGAGAGGGAGAGAGAGGTAGAGAGGGAGAGGGAAAGAGAGAGAGAGAAAGAGAGAGCGCGACATAGAGAGAGGGAGAGAGAGAGAGGGGGAGGAGAGGGGGAGGGGAGGGAAGAGGAGAAAGAAAGTGAAGGGGGTTGGAAATAATGGGGAGGTAAAAAAAAAAATGTATACATGTAAATGTAGATAAATGTAGAGAGAGAAATACATGGTGACCATGAAACAATCAGGAAGAGAGAGAGAGAGAGAGAGAGCTTTTATGGTATTTTGTAGGAAACTATAGTAGACTGATTTTCTTCTACCGTATTTTCTTTATGGATAAAATTGAAAATAGACCCCCCCCCCCCCCAAAAAAAAAAAAAAAAAAAAAAAAACCAACAACAACAACAACACCACCAAAACAATAACAAAACACTTTTTAGGCTAAGGATTCTGGATAAAAGATTGATGAAAATAGTATTTACAAAAAGAATCTGTGTTATATTTTGCACTATTTTTGAACTAGTGTTTTAATTTGACCAGGAATACACTGTAGTATGCACACATTATACATGTATGTATCAAAAGAAAAAAGAAAGAAAATGAAGCTAAGAGAGAGGGACAGAGAGAGAGAGAGAGAGAGAGAGAGAGAGAGGTACACATAGAATCATATGTGTGAGAGTAAGAGGAATGAAGATAAGTAAATTAAGTACAACATGACCATTTAATAAGATTTGTGAAAAGCTTCAGTAAGTTTAAGTTGTCAGTCAATGACATTGATGGGTGAAAACTTATTGAATATGACTTGAGTAGAAGAAGCATTATTGGATTGAGAGGCAGATACTCTATCTGCCTCTCAATCCTTGACGACTATGAAATTACATAGGTGTGGGAAGTCATTTGTGGGCAGCAAATCAAATTATGACTCTGTGTGAGATCCCTGGACTGTGTTCGATTCACTTGCATTGTATCTCTGATCTCTTATCCCTTCTTTCATATTTACTGTCAAATGAACTTGAATCTGGAACTACATGTAGTTCTATCTGAGAGCTAGTCGGAAAGGTATCATCAATTCAGCGTCACTTTGCTGTGCTCTTAGTCTGGACTTCTAGACCTTTTATATTCACTGTTGAAGGAAGTTGAACCTGGAATAAGTTCTATATCTATGGTGGCCCTGAAGGGACATCGCGAATAGACTAAATCGTGAAAAATATGCGATAAAATTCACGATATCGTCAATTTTATTGCATATTTTTCACGAAGAAATTCACAAAATTGACGATATCGTGAACTTTATCGTGAACTTTTCACGATGAAATTGACGATATCGTGAATTTTATCGTGAAAAGTTCACGATATAAAGTTCACGATATCGTCAATTTTATCGTGTACTCTATCGTGTACTCTATCGTGTATACTCTCCTGACGGGCGCTTCGTAAACAAAACCAGCCCTAGCTGGGGGAGACAGAGAGAAGGAAAAAAGGGAAAGGGAAAGAGAAGATAAAAGGAAAGAAAGAATAAGAAAAGAAAAAGAGGGAAACGGGGGGGGGGGGGGGGGGGGCGAAGGGCTCTTGCCTCCTCCTCACTCCCCCCCCCCCCTCCCCGCCAAAAAATAAATCAGAGAGAGAGAATTAGGGAAAGGGAAAGGGAAAGAGAAGATAAAAGGAAAGAAAGAAGAGGAAGAAGAAGAAAAGAGGAAAACGGGGGAAGGGCGAAGGACTCTTGCCCCCCCCCTCCCCCCCCCCCCCCCGCCAAAAAATAAATCAGAGAGAGAGAGAGAAGGGAAAGGGAAAGGGAAAGAGAAGATAAAAGGAAAGAAAGAAGAGGAAGAAGAAGAAAAGAGGGAAACGGGGGCAAAGGGCTTTTGCCTCGTCCCCCCGCCCCCCGCCAAAAAATAAATAAGAGAGAGAGAGAGAAGGAAAGGGAAAGAGAAGAAAGAAAGAGAAAAACGAAAAAGAGGGAGAATAGGAATGAAAGGATAAGAAAGAAAAGAAAGGAGGCAAGAGCCCTTGCCCCTGTTTCCCTCTTTTCTTATTCTTTTTCCTCTTCTTTCTTTCCTTTTATATTTTCTTTCCCTCTCCCTTCTCTTTCCCTTTATGGCGGGAGGGGGGAGGGGGAGGTAAGAGCCTTTCGCCCTTCCCCCGTTTCCCTCTTTCCGTCTTCTTCTTCTTTCTTTCCTTTTATATTTTCTTTCCCTTTCCCTTTCCCTTCTCTCTATCTCTCTCTCTCTCTCCTATTTATTTGTTGGCGCGGGAGGGGGGAGGAGGCAAGAGCCCCTCTTTTCTTCTTATTCTTCTTCCTTTCCTTTTTTATTCTCTTTCCCTTGCCCTTCTCTCTCTCTCTCTCTTATTTATTTTTTGGGCGGGGGGATGCAAGAGCCCTTCGCCCCCGTTTCCCTCTTTTCTTCTTCTTCTTCCTCTTCTTTCTTTCCTTTATCTTCTCTTTCCCTTTCCCTTTCCCTTCTCTCTCTATCTCTTATTTTTTTTTTTGGCGGGGGGTGGGGAGGGAGGAGGCAAGAGCCCTTCGCCCTTCCCCCGTTTCCATCTTTCCTTCTTATTCCTCTTCTTTCTTTCCTTTTATATTTTCTTTCCCTTTCCCTTCTCTCTCTTATTTATTTTTGGCGGGGGGGGGGGGGGGAGGAGGCAAGAGCCCTTCGCCCTTCCCCTGTTTCCCTCTTATTCCTCTTCTTTCTTTCCCTTTCCCTTCTCTCTCTCTCTCTCTCTTATTTATTTTTTTGGCGGGGGGGGGGGGGGGGGAGGTAAGAGCCTTTCGCCCTTCCCCCGTTTCCCTCTTCCCTTCTTCCTCTTCTTTCTTTCCTTTTATATTTTCTTTCCCTTTCCCTTTCCCTTCTCTCTCTCCTTATTTATTTTTTGGCGGGGGGGGGGGGAGTGAGGAGGAGGCAAGAGCCCTTCGCCCCCCCCCTCCCCGTTTCCCTCTTTTCTTCTTCTTATTCTTTCTTTCCTTTTATCTTCTCTTTCCCTTTCCCTTTTTTCCTTCTCTCTGTCTCCCCCAGCTAGGGCTGGTTTTGTTTACGAAGCGCCCGTCAGGAGAGTATACACGATAGAGTACACGATAGAGTACACGATAAAATTGACGATATCGTGAACTTTATATCGTGAACTTTTCACGATAAAATTCACGATATCGTCAATTTCATCGTGAAAAGTTCACGATAAAGTTCACGATATCGTCAATTTCGTGAATTTCTTCGTGAAAAATATGCGATAAAATTGACGATATCGTGAATTTTATCGCATATTTTTCACGATTTAGTCTATTCGCGATGTCCCTTCAGGGCCACCATATATATCTATATAGCTACCGGTAATAGAAAGTTTCAGGATCACTTTGCTCTGCTCTTAGTCTGGATTTCTAGACCTTTTATATTCACTGTTGAATGAAGTTGAGTCTGGAATTAGTTCTATATCTATATACATGTAGCTAATGGAAAGTATCAGGATCACTTTGATCTGCTCTTAGGCTGGATTTCTAGACGTTTTATACTCATTGTTAAAGGAGGCCGAGTCTGGAATCAGTCCTATATAGATTTAAAGCAAATATGAAAAGTATCAGCATCTCTTTGCTCTGCTCGTATTCATTTTTTTTTTTTTTTTTTTTTTTTAACTGCTTCTAGAAGAGGTAAAGTGAAGATTGCAGAGCAACTTTGCCTGCAGTGTCCATTAATTTATTATCAGCACAACACCTGTACTTATTGCAGGTGAGAATATCTCCTTGGGGATGGCAGTAAAAGAAAATCAGAAACCTTTTCATTGCAGAAATATGCACTCAAACATTGTAGTCTGTGTACTAGTGTGCAGACCTTTAGGCTCTAGTAGTCTACAACAAGCATTGATAGTTTTGCTTATTATTTTATCTTGCAGAATCTTGAAGGAGGCGTTTGACTTCTCAACTTGTTTATCGCCAAACAGCAGGCCATCAATGAAGAAGCGTTGAAAATTGTCATCAGCGACTTCAACTAACCATGGCTGACATGTATGAGCAACCAAGTCGTAAGTGACCCCTTCTCTTGGTTGATGGAATACAAACCTGTATTTTTTTGTACATGGAAAATGTTGGTAGGCAGTTCTATGTTTATGCTATTTATCATAAAGTGGTCATGAAAGTGAAAGAAAACAATTCGGTGGAATGGAAATCATCCAAATATACACTTTATACATTGTACATTGTACAGGTACATTTTGAGAGATGATTGGTACTTAAACCAGGAGCGGCAGACATTAGGCACATAACACGATCCTCAAAACACAAGAATCTTTCTTTTTATTTGTCTGTACTTGTCTGTTTTCCTTTCCATATAGTCTACCCCTTAATAGGAGGGAATACAGACTCGCTGAACTTTTAATCTTGTCCTCATCAGAGTAAATCGCAATGAACAGAAAGCTAATCAGGCATTATAAAGGAACAAAGCGTGAAGAAGAAGAAATGCTGTGATTGGCTATTGGAAAGTAGGCGTAATGCCAGCCTCACTACTGATAAGGCCTCTTGGGATATTCTAGCTAGCATTCCTAGTTTCCTACAGCCCATCACAGTCCATTATTTTTCAAGCGCCTTTTTTTCCCTTTAGCTTCCGTTTATTTTGTCAGATTTGGGCTTTCTGTTCATTCTTGCGATTTACTTTGATGAGTGCAAGACGAAAAACTGTAGCTTGGCTGTATTTTTTGCTATTCTTTAACATGTACCTGTAGTGTGAGTGTCTTTCAATTTTCAGATCCTATGATAGTGGTCTTTTGGCTAGATCTCATAATACATGTACAGGTTTAAGAGATACAGGGAAAGGTCTTTATAGACAGGTTTTCTGTATGTATCACTTTTGACATAGATAAGTTTGACTGATAAGTTTGACTGTTCTTAGATCTGTACATTGTGCCTCATCTATAGTCAGGAGAAAAGATAATTGTGCTGGAACCATCATATAATATCCATTTTGGTTAACTGATATTCGATTTTGGTTGTGTGTGTATGATTTGTATTCTTGATTTGACTCTTCTTCTTCGTTGAAGAGCTTTCCCACGAGGATCCCGCCATGTATGCGGAGCTAGGGAATTTTGCTATTGAGAAGAGAATCGGAAAGGGGCAATTCAGTGAGGTGTACCGGGCAAGATGTCTCATCAACGACAGGGTCACGGCACTCAAGAAAGTCCAGGTGAGGAAGAATGACAATCAAAACAATAATAATAATAATATGGGTTCTTGTATAGCGCTCGTGTTTGTAAGACTCAACACTCCTGGCACTCCACAACTATTGTCTCGGCTTTAACATGGCAGCCATCATGGCGCTCTAGCATTTCAAGGAATCAATTCCTGTCAGGTACCCATTTATTATGTTTTCAATTTTCAGAATAGATCAATATACACTAAAACAAACCTTGTTAATAGAACAGGCTGCTTTGGATAAAGAAAATTGCTCAGGCCTCAAAATGTATAGGAAGAGGGTAGGGGGATAGAAGGGAAAAAAACAAATGTCAAAAATTAAAATACAAAGAAGCAGGACTCAATGTTCAATTGTACAGTTTTACTCCAGGAAAACAAATAGGAGGTGAGGGGGGGGGGGGGGTATACCTGCCAAAAAGGCTGCCATTTAAAGATGAAGTTGAGTTCTGGTCATGCGATTGCATTGTGAAAGAAACTGTGGAATCGACCAGAAAGGTTGATCAGCTAGCATATAAGAATTTGTGTGTATTGCAAGGTTCTGGAATCATTAAAATGATAAGAAATTTGGCAAGTCTTGGTAAAGTTTAATACAAATGCTGTACAGAGAAAGATGTATATGGGACTACATGAACACGTGGCGTAAAAATCCTACCCCAGAGTTTTACGATGTTACCTGACATATTCAGAATATGAAGGCATTTGAAGAGCCATGCTTTTCAAGGAACATGTCTTATCTGATGTTCTTCCACACTTGCATAATAAGAATGATAACGTTCACAAATTATTTTTCACCTCTTCCCAGAACTCAACCTTCTCTTTAAACATGTCATTATTGTAGCATCAGTTTTTTTTTATTATTTGAATCTTGTATTAATTTCCTTTGCACAGATATTTGAGATGATGGATGCAAAAGCGAGGAATGACTGTATAAAGGAAATTGATTTATTGAAGGTAAGATATTAAACAATTTACTTTTTTTTTAAAGCCTCAATATAAAGCTTGTTTTTAATAGGAATAAAATAAAACACTCATAACTCTGACATACAATGAATCTCTTATAATGTTAATATTCATGTTTGTGAATTTAATTCTATTTAATGTAGATAGGCATAGGACGCCTTTTAGAACAGAGTGACAATTACCGGGTATATACATTAATGTGTCCTTGGATAGAAACTAAACGTAAACATTCATATCACATTATTTCCATTTTGAATATCCTGTACTGCATAATTTTTTTTTGAAATATTCACTCATAGTTCAATTACTTGTTGATAAAATCAAGTACCTAACATTGCAATAACTGTATAACATCGGCAGACTATACATGTACATGTAAGTGCAATGCATTCATTGATGTGTTTCCTTGAGATTTCAAATGTGAATTGTGTGTGTGAATTTACACATGTACATGTAAGTTAATTACACTAAATTGGGAATGTTTTGTCTAGTTTCCTAGAAAAGCCCAGCATTTGGTTGTGATTTGGGAGTGAAGCGAGAAATTTCTTAGTCTTTTTTCTTCTTTTTTTTTTTACTTCACTTTTTCTTCTGTTAGTCTTTGGACCACGATCATGTGATTAAGTATTTGGCATCGTTTATTGAAAACAATGAGCTGAACATTGTACTAGAGTTGGCTGATGCAGGAGACTTATCGAGAATGATTAAGGTAAGATGAATTTCCCTGTTATTTTCTGCTGAGAGCTGGTGGAGCAATAATTAAATGCACCTTGTAGAGTGGTTTGCAGACAATTTTCTTGACGCACTGTGTTTTTAGATTTATAAATATTAATCAATACAAATACAATGTCTGAAGGGATTGTAAAACCATAAAATTTCATGATTTGCAAAAATTATGTGTTCTTTCAATTGTGATTCTTGTATTCAGTGGCATGAAACAAATTGCAACCTGTTTCAAAAGTTTCATGCTTGCAAAATTGTTGGGTTTTACAGTAGTTACATTTCTTTCTCTTATTTCTTTTTTACCATCTTGAAGAGTTACCAATATGACAAGGAAATTGTAAAATGCTTACTTTGAAATGCCGAGTAATTGTCGCGCCAATGTGGGCTTATCCCATTTTTTGAAATCAATTTCCTGTTGTTGTGTTCTAAATGGAATCACAACTCCTATTCTGAGAAGACAAGCATATCATCTGTTACAAGCAGAGTCATTCCTTGATCCTGTAGTATCATCCTGGGGTTTGGATGGATGTCATACTTGAATGCCAGAGTGCATGACATCATCTTATTGAAGTGGGACTTCCCCCTTATCTCGACCGTATGAGGAAGGAATTCATCGGAACCCAGATCCCATGTGGGGGCTCACTGACTGGCTCAACAGGATATTGGAATTCTCCCCTAATAAATCCGGGATGTGAAAATCGGTCTGAATCAAGTCTGGAATGGGCTTGGATGTTAAAGAGAAGGTTGAGTTCTGGGAAGAGATGAAAAATAATTTGTGAGCGTAATTATCATTGTATTATACAAGAACATCAGATACAAAGTGTTCCCTGAAGAGCATGTCTCTTCAGATGTCTTAATATTCTAAATATGGCATGTAACATCGTAAATGTCTGGACGGATTTTTATGCCCCATGTTCGTGTAGTCCCATATACATCTTTCTGTGTACGGTGCTTGTAACTTTACCAAGACTGGGCCAAATTTCTTATCATTTTGATGATTTCAGAACCTTGCAGTGCACACCAATACTTATCAACAGTTTCTGATCGAATCCACAACGTTTCTTTCACAATGCAAACGCATGACCAGGGGGGTGTTTCACAAAGATTCTAAGTCGAACTTAACACTAAGTTGGACTTAAAAAGTATGGACAGCCATTGGAGCCTTAAAATGAAATATATTCAAAAGCAAAAATTTGAGTATTTTAGAGTTTTCATCAATTCCACATCAAGAACATGAAATCTTCCATGATAATAGAAAATATGAATGATTTGAATCAACATTTTATGCCTTCTAAAAAAAAAATTACAAAATATTTTCAAGGATGCTAATGGCTTCCCATAAATTTTAAGTCCCACTTAGTGTTAAGTTCTACTTAGGATCTTTGTGAAACACCCCCCAGAACTCAACTTTATCTTTAAATCAGGAGAGAAAAGGAGTTTGAGAGGAATTTATTGTGATGGGTGAAATGACTTCTCGGTAGGAACTAGGAAACAAGAGGGATAAACTCCAGGTTATTCAGGGGTTACAGCCTTAGGTTCATGTAGAGGTTAGGTTCAGAAGCCCAACTCTAATAAATGTAAATGTAATGCAGTGATTTGTTTGAATGTATTCCGTTTGATTTGGATAAAGCTCCTTGTTTGGTCAGTTTAGAGTCAACTATATGGGCCCTGTTTTATAATTTTTTTTATCAATAACAAATGCTCAATTTTTATGTCAAATTTGCTCTCCGCCTGTCAAATGCAACAATTTTAGTACCTTTTGTAACTTGTTATTGATAACAAGTTTTATGAAACAGGGTCATGGTCTGTTTCTTCTGTTTACTTCTTATCTGCTGTCATGCCCATTGTTTCTACTCTTCTCATGTCTTTCTATCTCTATCCATCCCCTCATCTGTGTCTCTCTTGCTGTTATCCAATCAGTTGTACATGAACATTTATACTCTAAATATACATCCTAATCATTTCCTTCTTGCTCTTTGTATCTTACTTTTCCCCACTTTTGTTTCCTTTTAACCCTATTTTAACTGGGCTATTTCAGACCAGGTTTTTACTGGGGGGGGGGATCAATTTGACCCCCCCCCCCCTAAGATCTCGGCCGTTTCACCGCCGATCGCCGCGAAAATGTGCTTGCATGTCAAGTGAAGTGTATAGAATACTATGGTAATTTCAAATTTTTGAAAAATTCACTCATTTGCATATTTATGGTAATTTATGCAAATAAGGTCATCAAATTCACATTTCTGCCCATAATTCATAGATTATTCATTTTTACGTATTCTTTTTCACTACATACATTTATTAGACCATTTGGAATAATAATACAACACAAAAAATTGGAAGAGCCAGGTTATTCCTTATGTTATCTCTTGTATTTATAATTTCTTATGTATTTCATTGTTTTTTTAACTTATGTATTTTATTGTTTTTGTTGTTTATTTCATTTATTCAACTATTTTGACCCCAAAACAAACATCTAAACTTTAAAAAAGACTGAATAACCAATGTTTTATCTATTCTTAGGAAAAATGACTTTTACATATGTTTTGTACACAAATCACGAAAATGAGCGATTTTCGGGCTGACATGCAAAGACAAAAGGTCACGTGACCTTGTAACCGTAGGTCCGATTTTCAAAAAAATTGTTTTAAAAGATGCGTAAGACTCGAAAGTAAAAAGTCATGAAAGGAAAACTTTATATCTGCCGCGATTTCGGAGTAGTCGCGAAATTTCTACAGGGGGGGGGGGGGTCAAATTGACCCCCCCCCCCCCCCCAGTTAATTAACATAGGGTTAAACCTCTTTACTCTTTTTTTTTTCTTTCTAGATAAGATACATTTTTGCTGTATTGTCCTGTTCTGTCATAGAAGTTTTCCAATTTCCCATCTTTATTAAAATGCTGCTGATTATGTGTCTTAATTGACATCAACTACATGTACATGTATTATCTTTTCCCCTTTTCAATGTTTACAATAGACCAGTTCACGGTTAGCACATGTCCCAAATGACCCTGAATATCCACAGATCATCAAAACATAAAGAGGTCCCACTTTGTACATTTTGAAATAATTACTCCTACAGCGATGGAGGTGCTAAATAAATAGCCTTTGTTTCCCCTTCTCAAAGAATACTTCCACCTGTATATCATGGAGTGCACTGCTTGTGCAGAAATGAATAATTATTACATAACTTTCATGAGCATTTTGTCTCCATGTATTTCACAATTTGGACGGCAATGACCTTTATCTGCTCATGCTCAGACTGCAACCGTGAATTGGCTTATTATGTTTGTCGACATGTTCCATCCAATTTGATTGACCATGCTATTTTCCTCAATGGTGCAGCATTTCAAGAAGCAGAAACGGTTGATACCGGAGAGAACCATATGGAAGTACTTTGTCCAGCTTTGCAGCGCACTAGAACACATGCATCAGAAGAGAGTCATGCACAGAGGTATCACTTCAACTTTTTATATATTTGTTAAAGCTTGTCTGCACTAGTTTAGCCAGGGGGATTAGACCTCCCTGCAAGGTCACTGATAGGTGGTTATCTCATCAAATCAGTTCTCAAGTAACATTTAAGAAAAAGGGGATCATGGGGGACCAACATGCACCGATTGGGGAAGTTTTCTATATAGAGGAAGCAAGTAGCTACAAGTAGGACAGTGGGGCTTTTAAATAGTGGAGTGAGATTGTAAAGTGATTTCCAAGCATAATATTGCATCCTTATACCTAGGATTACTTAACAATCTCACTCCACTATTACTCAGAGCCACAATTCACAATTCAAGAGCCACAAATATGTGTGGGTTCCTTATGTATTAAAGTGGGACACCAAAAATGTCACAAAGTAGGTCCCTGATTCATGGAATTACCCATTTACATTGCAAATAGATAATAGCCATCTTCAGACAATGACATTCAAAAGTTGTTGAATATTGTAGACGTTGCAAATTATTGAATAGATAATAATAAGTTGATTTTGATCATGACAAAGGATCTTAATTTTACCTTTACCATTAATTAATTATCTTGATAAGTATAATAGTATTAAGTAAGAGCTTAAGAGTATTCTTCTTTTCATTAATCATGTCTAGGGTTAGTAAGAATACTAAAAGTGTTATGATCATTTTAATACTGACAAGTGGAAAGGTATTACAATGTATATAGGTACTCATTGTTATCTCATTGTTGTAGTTTTTGTTCTTGAGACTGTTACTATTATCACGAATTACAATAACTACTAAACATCTACCTACTTTCATTTAGCAAAATATGTATACAGCTTGAGGTACATGTATGAACAATTATGATTACTTTATTTTTATTATTTTAATTGTACATATATATAATCACTCCTGTTTTTATGCACATTTTATGTAAACATTGCATTATTGGTCATTGGACTACTGCATTGTACATTGATATTAATGAACCGAAATTGAATTGAATTGAATTGAAAAAAAGAACAATTACAATGGGTATGGGGAACTAAACTCAAACCTGTACTGTGAAGGACGTATTTTGTATCCTTCCTAATGTTTTTTGGCAAGGTATTAATCTTCATTTGCCACACTCTACCCCAGTGAGGTAAATACATGTAGGTACCTTACGGGAATTAATTCCTTGAAATGCTGGAGCGCTGTAATGGCAGCTAGGCTAAAGCCGAGGTAATAATTAATGCGCCTTGAAAAAGAATTTTTAGATGGACGGCGCTTTAGAAATGCCTATAATAATTATTTTTATTATTATTATTCAGACATCAAGCCTGCTAATGTATTCATCACTGCCGATGGCAAGGTCAAGCTGGGTGACCTGGGTCTGGGGCGTTTCTTCAGCTCCAAGACCACCGCTGCACATTCCCTGGTTGGCACTCCGTACTACATGTCACCCGAACGCATCCACGAGACGGGGTATAACTTCAAGTCGGACATCTGGTCTCTCGGCTGCTTGTTATATGAGGTAAGATGCTCTTTTCATCAGGACTGGGACCACAGAATTTTTTTTTTATGGGGTGTACATGTATTAACTTAGTATAATGGTCTTCAATCATAAATTAAATTTGAAACCACATCAGTACTCTAGTAATAATAATAATAATATACCGTACTTATATAGCGCATATCACAATATGTCTCTATGGGCTGTATTAAAGAAATAGTAAGAAGGAAAGGTGGATAGAGTAATATAAGAAGAGTGAGATAAGCTCAACATACTTCCTCTTCCTCTCGTTAACATTGGAAAGTATTTTGAAAAGAAATGTTTTAAGACGCTGCCATCAGGAAAAGTATCATATCTGTTTTGCATAGCCCTTTTGTATTTTTTTATATCAGCATACTATATTATTATTTTAACCCTGATAAGAATAGGAATATATAAGGCAATTGCTGTAATTGTAAACTAGATAGAGATGGCAAGATCCACTCTTTCCCTTGGTCATAATCGCAGGGAAAATTGTGTTTCTAACATAATCGACTCGATCAACTCAGTGGCAATTTCAGTACCCTATTGTACATCCCAGAAATCAAGTTTGGTTTACGTTATACAGCCTTGTCATATTTGCACATTTCAATGGGCGACGCACAAGGCTATTTAAATAGCCTTAGGTTAATTATTTTGAAAGTAGTAATTGAGATTATATTTTCTGTTCACAATCTCTATAATTGGGGATTTTTATATTGAAATTTCAAATTATAGCCGATATGGATTGATGCATGATACGGAATTGATCTTAATCATATTAAAGTGCACATTTGTTTTGCTAATTTTTGTTTATACAAGCAACAATTGACCTTTGAATTTGTGTTAGCATGTATGCACAATTGCACATATATGTGGCATTCTATTAAACATTATAATTGCAAGATTTACTCTCATATTTTGGTACACAAAGCATGCATGTATGCTTGTACATCGTTCTGTCACCCATCTTGTATCCATTCCTGCTCCCCCTCTCCCATATCTCTCTCTATCTCTCTCTCTCTTTCTATCTCTTTTCTATCTCTTACACTCTCTCTCCCTCCCTCTCTCTCTCTCTCCCCTCCCTCCCTCTCTCTTTCTCTCTCTCTCTCTCTCTTCTCTTTCTCCCCCCCCCCTTTCTCTCCTTTTCCCTCTCCCTCTCTGTGACCTTCAATGAAGAGGAAGCCATACAGGTGCTAAACTTCCTTTTTCCAATGCTGAATTTAGAAAAATATCAAAACGAACAACAAATTATTGAATGGAGTTCATCCAAATTGCCTAGTATGTAGCTTATAGATAGATGTCCATGTACATAGTTTTTGTTATTCTTTTGGAACTCTCATAGAATCAAACTTCAATTTTTAAAATAATTTTTTTTAAGCACTGTGTTTCTTTGTTGCATTTGCATATTGTATATGTAGTATGCCTTTTTCCTTTTTCTATTGCATAGATTGTGAAGTTATGTATTTAAGTCATTGTTCGTTTGATAGTGTACGTACATATGTACATGTATGCAACTGAACAAATATGAAATGTTGATTGTGTGTGAAACTCTCCAAAAAATCTCACTTGAATTCCTATAAAATGCCATCATTACACTCTAGACTTCAAATTCTCGCCTTGCACACTCCTCCAAATTCCCCTGGACGATAAATAAAAGCTACAGTATAATGGCCTTGTATTTTATTTTCCTTGCCTCCCCCTCCCCCCCCCCCCCCCCCCCCCCCCCCCTCCTTGCCACCATCCCACTCCCCCTCACACACACACTGGCTTGTGTGTACATTGTTCAGATGGCAGCCCTACAGTCCCCCTTCTACGGGGATAAGATGAACCTTTACGCCCTTTGCAAGAAGATTGATAAATGCGATTACCCGCCCCTTCCCGCCGATCATTACACTGAGGAGGTAGGGTGGTTTGTTGTCAGTTGTTGCCATGGTTATTGGTGGTTTGTCGTGTCGCAATATCAGTTTGTTGTGTAGCACTATATATACTAGAGTTTACGTGTGTGATCATCTTGTGTATTAACTTAACACACCACTAATGGAGTGCATTTATCTCTCCCTCTTTCCACATTTCTCTCCTTTTCTCCATCTTGTTGTGACCCCATCTGTATTTCTTCTTTTATGTTTATATGTTTGTCTTTCTTTATCTCTCTGTATCTCCCTCTCTCTCTCACACACTGTCTCTCTCTCTCTCTCTCTCTCACTCACTCTCTGTCTCTCTTTTGCATCTCTCTTTGTGTCTCTCTCCGCCTCTCTTTTTCTGTCTCTTTCTGTGTCTCCATCTCTCTTTTTGTTTCTCCCTTCTCCCTCGCCTTCTCTCCGTGTGACTATATGTGATCCCATCCTTGTCGCCGTCTTTTGTGCTGCACCATATTCGCCTTACACCAACCCCCAAAAATTCATGTGTGTGCAATAAAAAATGATTTGAAAAACAATTAAACAAAAACCCAAAATACTTTATCTGCCATTTGAAAACTAACTATCGACTCACGGAAATAATCCCTCTCAAAAATATTATATTATTGGTTGATGTGACTGGCACACGTACATAACAAACATGATTACGCCCTCGCCTGGTGCAACCATGTCATTGTGGGGTGTGTGGTGAACTATAGATGGCAGCATTGCATTCGCCGTTCTATGCGGAGGGTTTGGATTTGTACTCTCTTTGTCAGAAGATTGATAAATGTGAATACCCTGGCTTGCCGGCCCACTACTCAGATGAGGTAAGTTCATCTCCATTTTGACAAACTTTGAAATGTTGGAAGGTAAGCAACAGAGGAAAAAATAAAAATACAGTAAAACCTGTCTACAGCAACCGCCCAAGGGAAACACAAAAAGTGGTCTTTTTAGACAGGTGGTCCTTGTAGACAGATTCCTTTAGTACTGTACATGTTTCGATGAGAAACCATTTTCAAGGGAAACAAAAAATGTGCTTGCTGTAGACAGGTGGTCACTAAAGCATGTTTGACTGTAGTAGATTTGCTGAATTTTTGCTTTTAAAGGGGAAATCTACCCTGATAATAATTTTGGTTTTGATAAAAGCAGAAAAATGAGAGAAACATGTCAGTGAAAAATTGAACAAAAATTTGATTAGAAATAAGAAATTAGGATTTTTTGAAATTGCAATCAATTAAACATGAATTGGCAACTCTGTGTCATACCTTGCAAGCTCACCTCCCATTTGCCCTTTTAATACAAAAAACTTCAAAAATTCATTTTCCAATCATACACCCTGAATATAATTATACAACCCCTGTATGAAAATTGAAACAAATTTATTCCATCATCAGTTACTACTTTATGTTTCAAAGATGACAACTTCAAAAATTCATAACTCTCCTATTTTTAATTGGACTTTGCTCAAACTTTCACTCATTTGTTCCTTTAATTTTTCTATTTTTATTAAAACCATTTCATATCAGGGTGGACTTCCCCTTTAATAATATTGAGAACTGGCTTATGTTATCAAAAGTGTGAAGTCCGGGAATCATTTCTTTTTCACTGTTTACCTTTTCTTAAGTAGCAGAGATGCTATAGTTTCAGATTATATAAAGTCCATCTTTTCAAAATCATATCTTGTTACTAGTCTCATTTAATACCTGTATTTATACTAATTATGCATGTACATATACTTTTATATTGTCATTAGTGTAGTGTTATATCAGTTTTCAGAACCATTTGTTTCTAACTTCATCTATGGTTGTGGGCTAAAATTTCTAAATTTCCAGAAAGTAAACAAATATTGAACTGATTGATGGATTGATTGAGAGTAATCCTACATGTATTTGTCCACACGTGTAGTATGAAATAATCAGAAATATTGTGGACTTAAGTTTGGCCTTACCCCAGGATTCACTTAAATACCCAAGAGACACAATTCTCTTTTGCCATTCTTATCAATGATTCGAGTGAAACATATGCCTAAAAATTGTGTGCATTCCCAGACAGTTTGAAGAAAACAGTTGTGTTTGATTCAGTCATTTTGTCCACCCTCAAAATGCTCACTATTACATATTGTCTGTTGAGAGCCAGAAGGGTGTTAACTTGGTGTAAAAATTTACAAGGCTATGCCCTTCTGGCTCCATACAGAATATATATTCATTTAACTACACCTGTACATGTAAATTATGACTCACACCTTTACTAGTTCCATTTCTGTCTTGTAAATGTTTATTTAATTTGTGTGAAATTTGCATGTGAGGATTATTACTAGCACAACTCCGATTAATATTTGTTCATTAGTTATAGTAATATCAACTTTCTGTATTTTACTTATTAATATTTTTTTTTCTTCATATTTTTTGATTTTTTGATATTTTTTTTGGATAACTTATTTATTTATTTTTTACTTATTTATTTATTAATATATTCATTTACTTGATTATCTTTTCATTTATTCTTTTTCTTCTCCAATTTGAAGTAGTGAAGAAAAATGTAAGCCTCAATCTTATTTAAAGTACCCTCATATTTTGATGTTTGTGTCAAAATTATCAAGAATGTGAGTTTATCAATGGAAATACACTCTAAGAAACTGGAGATCAACCTATGAGAAGAATGTGAATTTTTATTGTCTCTTTCACATGAACCAATTATGAATTTGAAGGAAAAAAACAACGACACCATTTTGACAACATCAAAGTTTATCCTCTATAGAAAGAAATGATAACAATTTGGTTTTTGATTATTTCATAGTCCACAGGTAATTATTGAGCAATTTCAGTAATTTTGTCACTCTCTGTAGCTCCTTCTCTCTCATTGGTACTAATTGAATGGAATCATGAAATAATTCAATAAATGTAATATTCAGGGATGCCCGTTTTCAGGCAAAAGCCGGGATTCAGGCCAAAGCCGGGATTCAGGCCCTGGGGAATTATTTTCAGGCTATAGTTTATGCTTTTTTGTGTTTTTTTTTTTCCATGCCCTCTGATCAATTGTAACTGGCATCCTTGAATACTGAATTTTAAAATTTGATAACATGAGTTAACATTCTTTTTCTCCTTATTCATATAATTTTCAGCTGCGTAACCTGGTTGCAATGTGCATTCATCCAGACCCCAACCTGAGACCTGACGTCTCCTATGTCCTGGAGGTGGCCAAGAGAATGCATATGCAGAGTGTCCAGTCAAGTTAGTCCTTCTAGCAGTCCCACCCCTTCCTTTCCATGTCCCCGTGTATGTACTAACAACGATACCCCCAAGGCAAGGCCACGGCCGTCTTGCGCAGTGTTGAGTATTGAAGGCGGAGTGCATCGATCGTATACAGGGTTCATTTTTCAGTCACGCCACCACCACCATACCGACTCTAAACTGACCGATACATAGTCCTCGGGGCATTGTAACGGTCAGTTCGGTCTGTGACTTGAGGTACTACAGAACACATGGTTGCACCACCTATCGCAGATCTTACATTGCATGGGAGCAGCAAGTCAAGTGCATTACACATCAGATCCTGGGGGGTGTTTCACAAAACTTGTCATCAGTGACAAATGACAGTATCTGTTATAAGCTACTGAAATCCTTGCTTCTGATTGGTTATCAGCAGATTTGTCACTGTTTTTGTCATTTTGTCATTGAAAATAGGCTTTGTGAAATGGGCCTCTGCTCTAGAGTATCCTCACTCGTTGATTACTTGTAGGGTTGGTCCCGTGTGAATGATAACCATAACTAATACTATCAATCGATTTTGCTGAAGCTTGTGTGGATAAGGTAGTTGAGATTCCACTAATCAGAGATGTTGCAGGTTCATTAGCATGACATAGCATAAATCCATGAGCTGGAACATGTAACTCTGATATTCAATCGATTTTCCACAGGAGGTGTGATGGCTCAGTGTTAGAGCAGTGGTCTCATAAGCGGGAGATCCCGGGTTCGAAACCAAGTCAATGCGCTCGTGCCCTTTGGTAAGGCATTGATCTTCATTACCAAGTCCTTTGAAGAGGACTTACAGCCGTTGATCCCCTTGTTGCTTACATGTACTTACAAGCATACACATGCTTTCTTAGCAGTCGGGTAAAACAAACAACCAAACAAATTTGTCCACATGAATTTCAGAAGACAATTTGATTGTTCTAGTTATCGTTACCATCAAATAGGACTAGCCCTTTAATTCTGGAACCACTGGTATTCATAGGCAAGAGGTGAAGAGGTTTTATGTTAAACCCATTGCCTACCGGAACCGGGTGGCCTCTGTATTAAGCCAATGGCAATGAATGAATCCAGTAGTCAACTGGTTAACAAGTCAATGTAAACCAAGAAATTTTCTTCAAAACGTCAGAGGCGACATTTACCCTTAGAATCAATCTGTTCTACAAGGTTCTTTGTCCAATAGTGCACTTAATAGTCTAGAGTGATGTGTTCATTAACATGCTATGCCTATTCAGAGTCTTGTAATGTAAAGTGGCAATTTCTCAAATACAATGTAGTATACCGGTAATATAATGCGTATACTTCTGTGGTGAATTACATTGACAGTTTTGTGATCGATATATTGGACAAGTGATTCATCTTTGATTATAGCCTTTGGGTCATTGCGAGTCAAGTTTTGTACATACATGCACCGGGTTCTATCGAAGGTGCAGAAGGATGAATCTTTTATTGCACCATTCTCTATATGTGGGGACTACATGGTTTTCGTACTGTATTGTAGTGTATGAGGTCACCGTGGGGATGTACATTGTAGGCCTACTGTACACGTTTCCAAACATGAACATGAACATGAAGCTATAAAAATCATGAGACTCGATGCACTTTGTAGGGATTATCCCGTTTATTTTATGATGAAACTTTGTGTGTGAGCAGCTTTAGACTTTAATTTTTGCTTTGGAATTCAAGCCCCAAAAATTTACATTTCAAGTTTTTATATTTTCCAGATTTTGCAATTGAAATGATGTCACCCATTGTATATTAAGTAAGATAGCAGGGGAAGAAATAGCGAGTTATTCCTGTGAGTTTCCTGATCGAAAAGAAGAGAGAAAGAAATATTGATGTTTCCGTCCAGGCTTTGAGTGGTATTAGGAATAGAGGTGTTCAGGTTCATTACAGGAAAAGAGGTTTCATATTTTTGTTTCAGTGAGGATTGCAACAGTGATGCTCTTTAGCTCCTTAGCTTGATTGTAAACATTCTTATCATATAATTATCAAATGATAGCAGTATTTTTGTTTACAGTTGTCAAACAAATGTATTTACAAGCATGCACAATTTCAACAGTCTCTGATTTAATCATTTTCAATGGAAAATATCATTACAATTGAAACAAATTTAAGAGAATAAAAACAGACTTAATTTGTTACCTTTCATACCCTGTTCATATCAAAGACCCTGGTTATTAACTAATCTATTATCAATTTTGATATTTACAATGTATGAAGTACAGTGTAATGTTAATCAAATATTGTTAGACTCTGTTTTTCTAATGTTTAGCAGTAGCTCCACAACCTGTGTACCAATCAGGGAATTGGATTAATTCGGTAGTCAATATGTTACGAAGTGTGGCATGAGATCCAATGAGGCATGGATAGACAGGCATGCTTAGATGCGGTCATCATGTAGAATTGTGTATATCAGAAAATGTTGAGTATTGTGTTGTGAAAACACAAACTTTGTCAGTTGAAGATAGAGTTGCTGCAGGAATTGATGTTATAGGATATAAACATGAAAGAATATATTTATTAATTATTCATATTAAACATGAAGGTGTTCAGAGAAATTAACAAACACATCATGTAGAGAGTAAGTGATATCAATATATCGTTTAAATAATACAAATTATTTTTTCCTGTGATATAAAATTATAAATGTTTAATTTGTCATTTGTAGTCATAACTTGTGTGAATTACATTTTTTCATCATTTTCTTGAACTTTATGAATATATTCTGAATATATTTCTTCACTTCCTTTTCCACCTGTATAATAAGCTATGTGTGCATTTCCATGATTCTTCTCAGAATGTTGTAAAATATAATTAATTTATCTGGAAAGGATTATGCGTAGAACTCAGGACCAAGGTTTGAAACTGTTTTGAAGGAGTGGCTTGAAGCTGTGTGCTGTGGATGAAAATATTATTACATGCGGCTTGTTTGAAATGAAGTGAAGTAAAGCAAGGATGAGACTAATATCTGTGTAGAGCAAGAAGGGCATTGAGTAGCTCATGATTATAATTATACTGGCTCAGTGGTCTCGTAACGGGGAAGTCCCAGGGTTCGAAACCAAGTCGATGCGCTAGTGCCATTGGTAAGACATTGATCCTCATTACCAAGTCCGTCGGAGAGGACTTAAAGCTGTCGGTCCCCTGGTTGCTTGTTTCCAAGTATACACATGCTTTCTTAGCAGTTGGGTAAAACAAAGACAACAGCCTTTGGACTCTTAACAGACAATATATTAGAAAATGTATAGGGCATATGAATGATACAATATCAGGACAACTTTCTTCAATGGATCATAGATTATCAAACACATGCAAATTGTTTATCTGTGCCTTGTATGTAAAGTCGACGCCTTGGCCGTCTAGTCATTTAGGATATTAATGTGAAATTGTGTTCCTTACGGTTAAACATTAAATATCAATATTGTGATTTTTCCTCTTTTGCTGTCTTGCTATGGCAATGCATTCCATGGTATATACATTAGTGGATTTAATGTCATTTGTTTGAAAGTGCTTTGAAAAGCTGAAGTGGCCTTCAAAGAGACTTTATATAGTGTGTTTTTCAGTGTCAAAATGAATTATACTATAAACAGCCTGTGTGTATTTTCACTATTAAAAAGCCTTTTTTTTATATGTCCATTAAGATAAAGAATTATTGAATGTGTCCAGTTGGAGTATATATTGTGGATCATCCTAGTAGATGCATTGTGTCTGAATGATACTAATATTTTTGATGTTATATTGCAAGGATATTATTCTTCTTTAATAATATTGATCAAGCCAAGTAACACCACTCGTTTGAACATAGATTTATTGTGAACTTGTTACTTGTAATACAGTTGTAACAGCCCGTCTACATTATTTTAATCAGTGAGGACATTCAGCTGGTTATAAAGTCCTATTGTTACACATAGACTTAGAGAGCAGCTTTCTATTGTCTTTGATATTCAGTTTCTTACATCAATATGTTTTCTGATGAAGCTTAACCATGGATAGTCCATGCTGTCCAAGAATGTAGATACTGTAAAATTCACATTAATTTTATTTCATATTGAAAGTATGAAACAGAAGCAAAAGCATGTTCTGAAAGTTGTTCCCATGGTAAAAAAAAATGAGGGAAAAAATGTAAGGTCAAATTGTACACTGGAAATCAGAATTCATAGCCCTAAATTCTACTGTTGAAAGTTCATTTTGATTTTGGCAAAGGTTATTTATGATTTTGTAATTCTAGCGATAAAAAAGGGGCTTGATTAGATTGCAATTCTCTGAGAGCTTTGTGCATTCAACCCCTCCCTCCCCCCCCCCCCTCCCACTGCTAGAAGGACAAAGCTTATGAAATGAGTATACCATCTGCTGAGAGCCAGAAGGGCATTAATCCATATCCCTCTATACAAATTTAATTCCCTTTTGATTCAATCACCGTATGTGTCATATTTCTGGTATAAAATTAGAGTTTTCAAGTTGATTGCGAGGTATACATGATTGTTGTGGTTTAACAGTATTTTCTATTTGTCAGATACTACTATAACTTTCAAGATTATATGAAATATATTGTGAATAACAAAGAAAGAGAAAGGAAAAGATATTTTTGTAAATAGATGCAAGATTCGAAGGAATATATGGAAGTATCTGGTGGGAGAATTTGGATAGAAGATGTTTTTTGATAGAGAATGATATCGGTGTAAAAAAATTAAACTATTTACCTGTAGATTGTACTAAATATGAGCCTGTGATTGTCAAGTATTACTTTTTATTGTCTTGTATGACCCATGAACTCTTGATGAATTTTCACCATTAAACTTTAATGATTCAATCCGTATGAGTGTATTGCAATCAGTGACGTTTCCATTCATCATGGTCACACACAACATCATGTGATTTACCTAATCAAGGTATAAGTAGTCATTTTGTTTAATGTCTTTTAATGCAGTCGTTTGATATTATTCATGCATTACAGAGATGGTATAATATACTAACAGTTTGTGTACATTGCATAGCCTATCAAGACATACACAAATTATTTTCTCATATATTAGTTACCAACTTACCACAAGGGCATTTACAATTAGTTCAAACTGTCGATTACCTGTGCCTACTTACATTTATTCTGTTGTGTTGCTTTAAACATTCCGTCATTCAAATTACCGTAATTTGTGGAAGTTATATTATTTACACATTATAGACTTGAATCAATAGAATGATGCTTCTTCACCGCAAACTATCAAATTAGCAATGAGGCCTTTTATTCCAAACAGTTCATTTTTCTTTTATCAATGTTTTTGGTTGCGTTACTCTCAGAGAAGTTCTGAAAAGTTGAAGAGATTTTTCAAGAACTTTTTTTTGAGGAAAAAGCAATGGCGTAGTATAGCATCAAGTTAACATCAGCCCCTTGTTTGACTACCCAGGGAAAAGAAAGGAACTTGGAGTTTGTCTCCATCAGGTGGGGCTGGTATTAAAGGTACATTCCATCTCCTGCTAATAAATTTCTGGATATACCATTGAAGGTAGCATTGAATATTCAATTACATAATGAAAATTGCACTTTCAAGGTTCTGCAAAAGCGAACATTGGAATACATCATGTTTAGATTCATTGAAGTATCCATACGATAATCTTTCTTTGTGTGAAGTGTTTTTTTTTCTTTCCCTGGCTTTTTGACATGCTTTTTGACAGTTATGTAATTTATCATTTCCTTGTGACAAGTCTACTGATCATTCTGTTTGGTGTGCATTAAAACTTGTTTATATTCATACACATATTCATACAATTGTGTTTCTTCAAGGAGAAGTTCATGTGACAAAACGTTTATGGCGATGAAGTGGGATGAATAGTTATGAAGATTGTGATGGTGAGGATGATGTTTAATTATTGTGATGAACTCTATTATTTTTGGCTGATGTGGCTGAATATTAAAAAAGCACATGGTTGTTATCAGTGGCATAGAGCTTTGGTCCAGCTATTTAAAGGGGTCACCCATCTTGCGTGTGGATGTAATGCGAGAAGACAATACGATCAAGTTAGAGATAGGTGTGGGATGGGGGCAGTATCTTCTTTTAACTTTGCCTTCCCCCCCCCCTCGTTTCTCCCCCCCCCCTTCTCTCTCTCTCACACACACACTCTCTCTCTCTCTCTCAATCCCTCTCTATGTCTCCCCAAGATTCCGCCAGCCGAACTGTCACTTTTCCCACAGAGACAGGTGTGGGATGGGGGCAGTATCTTCTTTTAACTTTGCCTACCCCCCCCCCCCCGGTTTCTCCCTCCCCTCCCCCTCTCTTTCTCTCTCTCTCTCTCTCTCTCTCTCTCTCTCTCTATATGTCTCTCCAAGATTCCGCCAACTGAACCGTCACTCTTCCCACAGATCCTAAACCATAACTGAGATTATTATATGTAACAATTCAGTTTGTTTTTCTTCTTCGGATCATTTTACTTCTCCACAAAGGTTGGCCCTAGGCCTGTAACGCACAAACAACAGATTCTTTTAATTTTGTATTTATATCTTTTAAATAACGACAACTGAAGTCATATTACATTTTTCACAAGAGAATTTTTTTGATAAACAGTAGAACAAAGATGAAAGAATCGGACCTGCGATGAGGCTCGTACAATTTGTCTGAAATCACCAGCAAGCACACATGTAGAATGTTCTTTTTTTTTAAAAATCAAACTCATTCAAAGCAGTGAAAAAAATACACGGGGGCTCGGGGCGAACTACCCCCGAAATGCCCCCCAAAAGCCCCCGAAAGTCATAAAAGAGCCTCAGAACTTTGGATAGAGTTCAATGCAAAACAAATTAAAGAGTGTTATTTTCATGCAAGCAAGCTTGAAAAATAGCCCCCGAAATTTTTGAAGTATTTTTTTCCCTGATTCAAAGCTATATAGATTTCTGGTGAGCCCCCCCCCCCCGTCCCCACCACACACACGCACTCACACAATTTTTAGACTCCACATTTTGAAAAGCAAGGTACTGACAGTTACATGATGCTATAACAACAGAAAATCACTCAAATGAGAATTGAAATAGCTTCTACTTTTTAGCCACGATTTGAATTATGTTTTGTCGATCTGTTTCAATTTAATCCTTACCGAATATTTGAATTTATTTATTTGAATTTAATTTATTTATTCACCACCATTGAAAGCATTGACACAAAAGATATATAATTGTACAATGACAATGTCAATATAACATGAACATAAACATGACATGAATTAAAATAGATATTTTACAGCAATATACATTATAATAAATGCAAATTGAAATAGTTATAGTTATAAGTAGTGTCAAGAGTAAAACAATAAATGACTTTTTACAATGAGTTTGTGATCGATGGTAAAATCGAGTAAAAATAGCACATGTGCTAGTCGAGCCTGACTCTCGTTATCTAAAGCCTAAAATAAAGTTTATAGAAAAATACACGATGGGTTTCCAAATCCTATATTATGTATACTATAACAATTTTAAAAAACGAGACTGGTTGCTATATACAATATCGTGGTGTTCACCTTAGAGTAATTTTGTGAGTTTTTTACGAAAATTAGATGTCCTTGATCTCTCAATGTTTAGATCAGTAGGAAGCATATTCCAAAAAATACTTCCAACAAACGAAACGCAACATTTTCCTTGGTCTGTTTTGAATAAAGGAAGACGTAATTGTCTACCCGTTTTGTGTCTATTCATGTGGTATCATAATGCAATATTTTTTAAAGGTAAGAGGTAATCGTTCATTTATGAAATCAAACATAAAAGTACAAATAGATAATTGATGCAATTTGAAAACATTCATGCAATTGGAGGTCATGAAACAGTGCATTAGCATAAGATAGATAAGATAATCAAATTTATTCCATTCATCATAAAAAAACATTTAGATACAATAATATACAAAATCACAAGATTTATAGTCAAAGTAAACAAACATTACATAAAATAATAGTACAATATAAGTTGATCTGGACAAAAACATAGAAAAGGTGAGTATTTATGTGAATGAGGAGGCAGCTAGAAAGGAATTGCCTTATTGGTGCAGACAGCTGCCACTTACAAAAAACTGAAAATTTGAAATTAGGATAAGAAGAGAGTACGATGTGGCTTGAAATTTATACCACGTACAGCCATCTTTTTAAGTATACATATAGTGGATTACATATAAACGTCTTTGCAGAGACGGTATACAGCCGTACAGGAGTGAAATATGTACACACTATAATTCATTACTGCACATGTCCTTTAAATGGCTACATAGGCAGGGGCGTTACTTTAAAGGTAAAGACCAGTTATGGTCATGCGATTGCATTGTGAAAGAAACGTGGAATCTACCAGAAAAGGTTGATCATCTAGCATCTAGCATCTGCAAGGTTCTGGAATCATCAAAATGATAAGAAATTTGGCCCATTCTTCGTAAAGTTACAAGCACTATACACAGAAAGATGTATATGGGACTACCCTATATCTCTCACAGACCATGAGAGAAACAAATTTACCAAATATATGAATTAGTAGGCGGTTTCCCGGCAAATTTTTTATCATCATGTATTAGTCAAAACACATTCTTTCACATGATTAGTAATGAGAGCTTCCATTTCTTTTTTTGAAATTGGGGCGTTTCCAATACTGGTCTTAACCTTTAACTAGGCGTTGTGGTGTGCGCCTGTATGAAAAATGGAAGTTACAAACTGATTCAGCCGAGGACACAGGTTCGAAACTGAGTCACGTCTTTCGGATGGTGACGTTTAAAGGTCGGTCCTCAGACGTAAATAATCATATCTGATTGATACACGACTGTAAAAACACAATAAACACACACGGCGTTACTAAAGGGGGTAACACGTAACCCGCCCCCCCCCCCCTCCCTTTCAGATGTTATGTTGGGAAATATGGAATCTTTCTAGCATTGTCTGAAAATTGCAACATCAAATTTGATAATTTGATAATTTGACGACCGTTTTTAAAAATAATCTTTCCATTAAAATCTCTGCTGGCAGTTCAAAATGTTTGTTTGTTTTTGTGTTCCGGAGTTATTTGAAAATTAGGGCTAACTAGTCGGCAATTTTGCCACCCCCACCCTCAGTTTCCGAGTGGTCTAGCGGCGCCCCTACGTGCCTTCTAGAAACATTTCTGATCTTCAAGAAGTGCCGAATAGAATTTAGCTCCGGTTCGCCTTTCAAAAGCATATGTAGACGTCGCCAGACATTCCTTGCCGAGTAAGCACGAACCCTCGCAGGCGATGTAAGTATAACACGAGCAACGGACATCAGCAAGACACAATTGACTGCATCTGATGATGGACGAAACCGTGTATGACGACAGAACATAGGCATCGATGAGGGCGACATTGCTGGCCAGTAGTCGGAAGTTTTTGAAGATCGTGTGACCTGTTTCAAGGTTATAAAGTTAAGGAAAAAATCACCAATATGAGTATGATTTTTAACGAATTTATTGTGAAATTGTATAGATAGATATATTGACTGCTATGAGAAGCATCGCTGTTTCTATAGGCCCAAGGGGACATTACATGACCCCGAGGCGGGGTGTAACGATGTAAGGATGATACGTCCCCGAGAGCCAGTATAGAAACAGCTATGCTTCAAATATTAAACAGTCGATATATCTTTTATAAACCGAATTCACAAACAAAATATTCAAAGAAATCTTACGTTATCCTTTTCTTGAGTAAAGATAGCTGGTTATACATCACAGAAAATCTGAGACACTGTCTGTAAATCTTCGCTGGAAAGTTGCCTGAATGTTACGATCATTCGGGAATCGCAGACAAAAAGCACTCTATGGTATCCGTGCGCGCCCTAGCTCAAAGAATTTTTTTACACGTAAACCAATTGGGATCCAGCAACATTTATTTATGCGGCCCGTTACCCGGGGCAACGGGCATATTTACAAAAAAAGTATTGACCGATAGGCGGGCATGCGGGCATCTTTAAAAAAACTATTGACCGTTAGGCGGGCATGGCTAAAATTACGTGGCGTTAAAAAAGATGTTGTGTTGCCCTTTGCCACCGACCGTATTCGGGTTGTAGGGTTATTACCCGCGGAGACGCTGTAAAGGCCCGGTCACACAGCCTTTCGCGTCCGTATCGCGGGTAAAATTTCGCGATTTTTTTTTTGCCCGCGGTTGCCCGTGGTGGAAAATGTGCAAAATTGGCTTACCCGCGGTTTACCCGTGGTATGCCCGCGGAACAGACGCCGGCGACTGTTCCGCGTCCTTATCGCGGGTGAAGCGCGGCGGTACCGCGGCCTACCACGCTTACACGCGGTACACACGCTAATGCACGTGATAACAACGCGGTACAGACCCGGAACAAACGTGCTATGACCGTGCTCCACCCGCGATTACCCGCTAAAATTTCGCGTCCAATTCCGCGTGTAACCACGTCTTAACCGCGGCCGTAGCACGTCCTAGCACGTTCGTTCCGCGTCTGTACCGCGTCTTTACCGCGTGTGTACCACGTGTACCGCCCGCGATTACCCGCGGTCTAAATTTTTGGGCAGCCCAAAACTTTTTCGCGCGGCCAACCGCGTGTGAATTTCTTACCGCGTGTAACGACGGGTAAAGTACGGCTGTATCGCGTCTTTATCGCGACCTCAAAGCGTCCAACAGCGTCTGCTTCACGGGCAGAAATTTTTGGCCGTGATTCGGCCGCGATACGCCCGTGGAGGGCTGTGTGACCGGGCCTTAAGGAAGGTAACGGGTTTACATATACATCCTCGTAAATGACACACGAGGCGTTATTGTTACTGCGTCAGTGATTTGCTTGGTCTTCGACGCGCCATGGGATAGAGATACCATACAGGAAAAACTATGAATCGAAACAACGCCATTTGTGCAGGTGGGAGGAATAGGGTGTGTGGCAGCCCCCCCCCCCCCCGGGGGGGGGGGGGGGGACTGCCACGCTTTAAAAAAAATGATTTACCTCTGTCCCGAGAAGATGAGCGACATGTAGTCGAAGACATTGTCTGGGTTGTGTGCGTTACTGTTGTTGCAGGAGTGGTGTCGGTTGTATGTTCCGAAGTAAGCGAAGCATCTGTCGATCCTTTCTCTGTTGTTGATGTTGAGGATATTTGTGATGTTGGTGTCGTTGAAGCTAGACTGGTTGTAGCCTCACTGATTTTATCTCCGGTTGTTGACGGAGACTGGGTAGAACTACTCGTTGTTACAACATTGGCAGTCTGAGTAATGGCAGAAGCGGGAGAAGTGGCAGCAACTGGTGTTGTTTGTTGCAAAGAACTCGATTGAATACCTGTTGACGTTGAAGTAAATAGCGAGATAGTTGTAAGGGAAAAGACTTGAATTCGTCGTTACAATAACTTTTGTTATCATCAAAGGCTTGCAAGGCAGAAAAAGAATTTACTTCATAAAATCCAAGACAACTATATCCTGGATGCATTGAATAAACTGAATGTACATACTTTTTCTTTATTCCACTGGGGAAAAAAATCATGAAAAATCCCATAAAAATGAATTAAATCAATTTATATTATTAAAACTGCTTAGGGTCATCGGTATATATTCACCTCCTTCTTTTTCGCAGATATAACGGTGCGTGTGACCTTCTTCAAATTTATCATCCAACCATTGGTATGACTTATTCGGTTCTATAACGAAACACTTCCCTCCTTCATCCAGGGTCTTTTCGTCACTAGCTGCGAAGTTGTAGTGGGTCAGGCTCGAACCGTCCAGCCAAGTCACACTTGATAATCCTATCCAGTAATCCTCGTTTGCAAGGGGTAGGTTGTCCACCAGAAATTCTTGTTCGTCCTCTGATCCGATGTAGACAAGATGCATTCCAAGGTCGGCACATGATGATTTTGACGAGGCGAAATTTGAATTGCTTTGCGAGAAGTGATAACAGGATTCGTCATATTCAGTGTGGCCACCGGTACACGCTGCAAAAGGAGACAATTAATATGAAAAGGGGTATATTAAATACACATTTTCATTTGATTGTGTGCTGTACAATAATTGAATATCATACAAACCAAGGAAATATTACATTGTCATTATGAAAAGAACGTTGGCTTCCCAGTAAGAGACAGATCCGTTGTTACTGTGCTCGTGCACAGTTTTTTTCATGATTAATTTTAACGATTTTCTTTTTTTTTTTTTTTTTTTTTTTGTAGACAAGATTAAATTTTGCCTTTTAGAAGTCTTAGAAAATGAAGACCCTCAACGTGCAGAAAATCACCGAGTTTCTACTTAATATTCTGTACTTACCGGCACTGTCTTCTTTTTCGTTTTCACAAATGTAATAGTTCGAACCGGAACACCTTTGGTCATGCCATTGATAGCTCCATTCATCCGCCATTCGGAAACAGATTCCTCCATCATCAAAGACATATGCAAAGTTGTTGTAGTCCAAGCTTGAGCCATCTATCCAGGTCACTTTTGATAAACCTATCCAATGCTTCTCACTACCAGATATGGTATTCTGCATGAAGTTTTGTTCTTCCTGTGACCCTATGTAGACGAGATGCATTCCAAGGTCCTCGCAGAACGATTTGGACGACGCGAAGTTTAACTTGCTTTCTGAGAAATAATAACACGACCCGTCATTCTCGATTTGATCAGATTCACAAGCTGCACAAAAAAAAGAGACAGGGAGACATCATAGCCGAGAATGGGAAGAAGAGATGAATTGAAGATTATATGAAGGGAGTGTGGGCACAGAGAGGGAGAGGGGGAGAGAATGAGAAAATGAAAGAGAGAGAAGGAAAGAGAGAGATAGAGAAGGAAAGAAAGAGAGAGTTGGGTTGTGAGATCAGAGGGAGGAAGAGAGAGAGAGAGGGAGGGAGAAAGGAGGGATGAAAGCGTTATTGATCTAATAATGATTACGGATTTTAGGTTCAATTTCGTAAATTACATTTTCATCATATAAATATCCATATTATTATTATGCCATACATAAAACTCTCGGTTAATTCGCTTAAATGGAAAAGAGTAAAAACGATCGGTCGCCAGAAATATCAGATGATTACAGCTAGAGGCAATTTGTGGAAGTTCACATACTTATGTAGGGGCTATTTTCTCTTATCCTTCCCAAACTATTTACAATACAATACAATACAGTCATTTCTATAGCGCTCTTACAAACTAGGCCTAACTGTTGTTTCACAGCGCTTTACATAAAACAAATTATCGAAAAAGTTGTTGATCACGGTCAAAGAGGAGAGTTTTGAGATATTAATATGGGTCTATTGTTATTAGTTTTTTCCGGTATATTTTTTAGCCTTTTTCTATAAAAAAAAAATAGTTTTTAAATATGAGAAGAAAACAATATGGCAGATCATGAATTAATAACGACAAAAATGTGATGGATGATATATTACTATTTAAACAAAGAGATGAAAAATCCAGAAGAGAGATTGCCGGGGAAGTTGTAATGGCCCGGTTCCTCTGGCCGATGGACACAAAACGTATGCATAAAGGACACAGCGGATGAGCAAAATTTCGGGGGTGGCTCCATCCGTTTTCTTCCGCTCCAGAAATGGACAAAATTGGCGAAAATTGGCGAAAACAGAACGGAAAATAACGGACGTGGGTAGTATGTAACGGGGATGTTAAACGGATGTTCATCGGAAGCCTAGTGGATGAAAGCGGATGGAAGTGGATGACAGCTTTGAATACTTTATATACGAGATGCATACGCTTACATCCTTTCTATTTCCGTGCTACTAACGATATATAGACGTTCCATGTACCTTATCTGTCCTCCCTATTTCCGTTTTTGGCTGCAGCGGATGTGAGTTGCGAGGATGCCCAGAGGATGCAGAGAGGATACAGCGGATGTTTAACGGATGATAACGGAGTAGAACGTTTGTTGCTCGTATTTGTCGCGGATTTACATCGTACACGGCGGAAGTTCATCCGTTCTAAAAGTTTTGTGCAGCTCAAAACTTTTTGCGCGGATGAAATCACAGTGGACGGATGCTCGATGGATAGAGCGTATGAAACACGTATGCAATGAGTACACAACGGATGCATAGCGTTTTCGAACGGATGGCAAGATGTTTTTACGTTTTACATCCTCTTTGCATCCGTAAGTGCAGTGGGACCGGGCCTTAAGCAATTTAGATAATAAGTAGCAAAGTATTATATTGTAGACAAAAATTTGTATTTTTCTTTACAATAATACTTGGCTTTTATTTATTTTTACCACTATGTTTTGACGTTTGAATGTAAATATACACCCCAATCAAGGCACACTGCAATTAATCGATGTTATAGACATTTATGGATGAAAGAAAGGTGGTAATAAGACACCTTATCAAGTTACTCACCTAGATCAGCAGTCACTGGGCTGTATTGGTTTAATATAACGAAGATAACGAAGAAAGATAACTCCATCTGCACAATTATAAAATAATAATAATAATATTAGAAGTCACATTTGTATAGCGGTTAAAACTACGTTTCTAAGCGATTTTACATTGTAATTATCATTACCCCGGTCACTGGATTCGATTCCCTATCAACACATGATAGTCCACGCGCTCCGCTGCCTGGGGAGTATTCCGCCAGCAGGCGCCAATTTACAAGCGCACACATGCCAATCCAACCACCTTAACATTAAAATCCTATCGTGTACCCATTTAACGCCTGGGTGGAGAGTGGCCAGTGTAGATTAAAGTCTTGCCAAACGACATAGTGCCGAGGTGGGACTCGAACCGCAAACCATGTGATCCACAGTTCGGTGACATATCCACTAGACAACGACAACTCTACTAACGACTCTTATCATTTCATGATTTATATTTCATGATAATTAAACCTGATGTTATGATTTTAAATAAAAGAGATACAAAATGACAATGGTATTACTCTGGAATAAGAATAAGGAGATATATACGAACAATACCTTCCCAACGATTCAATTCAGATATTACACTTTCGCAACAAAGAGGGTGTTTATATATTTGCAATAATGTGCTTTTCTTATATATTTTTTCAAATATGATGTTGGAAAACAAAACATTACTGAATGTAGGCCTTTGCCATATGAACAAAATTTTCCTTATGTATACAAATACATACCTCGATCTTATAGATGTCTTGCAACTCACCGACCATCGATACTTCCACTAAAGTATATCCTCTCGCTTGGACGAGCTTGAGTTCAAATGCATTCTCCTAAAAACATCAACAAGTATGACATGAAATCCATCATAATATTGATTAAGGGCCTATAATACACCAAATCATAGTCAATGAAAATTGATTAAACCGCGCTTTCCGTGCATTACTTTTATAATTCGGACCCACATTTTCCATTATAATATCAATGATAGATCCCGCACCTGACGTCAAGAGTGATGCAGGTAGTATTTGGTCGGCTATTTTCCTAATTGATATCGGTGATACAATAAACCCCACTAGACGACCGGGCGATGGTAGGCCCTTTGTTAGCTAATCCAATCAGGTATCAACTTTATCTCCAGATGATCCATTCCGAACACCATGGCAAAGTTCGATATAATAGTAACTATATTATTATTCTTCGATGAATGTAGAGGGGATAGAAATTTGCTATCGATCATCCAATAGTACTGGGGGATGAATCTCTTTGAGGTGAGGATGAAGTGCCGAAAAGTGTAATGATCCTGTCGGGTCGGGTGTTCGGTTTACCCGACCTTTTGTAGAAGCGTGCTCCTTTATTCACGAAATTTCGGGGGTAATATTTGTGAAACAAACCCAAATTCTCATCTACATAATGGTCCTGTCCATTTTACCCGACACTTTGTGTGAAAACCCTACGGCAAATCTACGAAAGGTCGCATGACCTTCCGCTTTCGTTTTACGAAAGGTCGTGTACGTAACGCCAGGCACGTAGCCACGGGGGGAGGAGGGGGGGGGGAGACCCCCTTCTTCTTCTTTTTTTTTTACCTCGATCGATTACATGTATGTGCCCCCCCCCCCCCCCCCCCGAAAAAAATCAAACTCTGGGCTACGTGCCTGCGTAACGCGACCACCCGACCGGACGCGATGACCTGATGATTCGTAGTAAGCCCTTAAAAGCGATTCTGTGATATGTGTCCTGTACGACTTAAATTTTGTTTCCGTTTTCTTAATCTAAAAACTAAAAATTAAAAAAAAAAATCGTGAAAATAATATTATGACCATGGACTAATGGCAATGATACCAAATTTAGGTAATTATCCATGGTTTATCTCAAGCTTTTTATTTTATTTGATTATATATTATATTGTGCCGAAATAGAGGAGTTTTGTAGTCCAGTGGATAGGTCTGCGGAACTGTGGAGAATAGTGTACGGGGTTCGAATCCCTTCCATAACACTATCGTCCTTTGGCAAGACATTACTCTACATTTGCCACACTCCACCCAGGTGAGGTAAATGGGTACCTGTGCGCTGATAACATATGCCGTTCGGAGCCAAAGCTAGGGTAATAAATTTCCATGATGTGTTATGCGCTGTACAAAATGGAATATTGTTATTATTGATAGGTGAAAGTCTCATTAGTATGGGACACATTTTACGGAATTGCCTACCCCCCCCCCCCCCCCCACCGTGGTTTTATCATAGTTTCTTCGTCATTTTATTTGGAAAATGGGGTAAACATACGCCAGTTTCGATACGCTTCTGCACTGGTTAGGCCGGTGCATACCGATTCGTGAAAGAAACATAGAGGGGAGAGAGAAAGACAGGCAGACAGAAAAAAGAGAAGATGAGAGAGAGAGAGAGAGAGAGAGAGAATAAGAGGGGGAAAGAGGGGGAGGGAGAAAGAAAGAGAGAGAGAGAGAGAAAGATAGAGAGAGGGGAGGGAGAAAGAGAGATAGAGAGAGAAAGAGAGAGACAGAGAGAAAGAGAGAGACAGAGCGAGAGAGAGGGGGGGTGGGGGGGGGGGGGTAGAAAGAGGGAGAGAGAGGGGGAAGACCCAAATGGGAATGGGGGTCGTTATAGCGCAGAGTTGAAATTTTTTTGCATTATGACGTAGTAATCATTTATAATGAAACATGGAGGAGTGAATGCGCGCGCATCAAATTGTCATGCCAACGACCCGCTTATAATATCGGGCAAAATAATATTTGAAGAATAAATAAATTGGAAACTATGGGGTGAATAACAGTATAAGCATACTATAAATTTAACCACCAAAAAATAAGACCAGGAAGTGAACACAAAGTCATGTGTACTGCGGCAGCGCGGGGCTGGAATTGTAGTTTCCTCGCCCCCTCCCCCGCAAATTATGAAAATACTAACATTAGGGCAACTGTCACTTCGATTTTTCGGGCAGCTGATGGTACGTCTCTTTTGTAACCTGTAATATCCTGCCTAATATTTCATGTTTCAATGACAAAATTACATTAAAAGCACTCACTGTTTCTTTTTATTTTTCACAGACGCATCAGAAGGCTTACGCAACTATGATGGAGTTCTTTGGGAATTCTGCGGCTACGACCCCGTAGCGGGAACGCCCCGTGACTCCATGTTCCCCGTCTACCATCCGGAGAGTGCCACCGTGCCCCGAGGGGAGGCCCGTAGGACAAGATTCAGGGAGAGATTTAGCTTTCTTTGGACGGAGACGATCGGGGCACCTAACTCTTTTCTCTGTGTTATTGCATCCTACTGCCTGTAATACTATAAATGAACTAGGTATGCCTACTTTTCTTACTTTCATCCCCTTGTATTCCCGATAATGTAGTAAATGATAGTGATCGAGGGAGGGGGCGAGCCTGCCCCTACTTTTACAAATCGTTTGCACGATGCAGATATTTGTTGTTGCAATGATCTTCAATAGTTTAAAAACAGCTTTACAAGTATTTTGTAAGATACTGCTAAATAAGACGACGGGGAATCGTTTCATTTATTTTAAAGCTAAAGCAATTAAACTATATCCTTCATTGTTGAACTTATGTCTTGCAACCTATAACAAATTGTGCACCATATTTCACTAGATCCTTAAGATTGGTGAATAATCAGACATCGAACTATTGTAGAATGTGGAATTGCAGCGACGTAGCGGAGGGGGTGGCGGTTTAGGGTTATGCTTTTTGATTAATAATTCTGTCTGACATTGCACATAAGACAAGATCGTAAAGATTTCCAAGAAATTTAAGGTTGATTTTAATCCCAATAGTCATGGTCGCACATTTCAATAGGAAATGAAATTGCCTAATTTTTTTGTGACATATCCACTAGACAACGACAACTCTACTAACGACTCTTACCATTACATGATCTATATTTCATGATAATTACACCTGATGTTATGATTTTAAATAAAATAGATACAAAATGATAATGGTATTACTCTGGTATAAGAATAAGGAGATATATACGAACAATACCTTCCCAATGATTCAATTCAGATATTACACTTTCGCAACAAAGAGGGTGTTTATATATTTGCAATATGTGCTTTTCTTATATATTTTTTTCAAATATGATTTGGGAAACAAAACATTAATGAATGTAGGCCTTTGCCATATGAACAAAATTGTCCTTATGTATACAAATACATACCTCGATCGTATAGGTGTCTTGCAACTCACCGACCATCGATACTTCCACTAAAGTATATCCTCTCGCTTGGACGAGCTTGAGTTCAAATGCATTCTCCTAAAAACATCAACAAGTATGACATTAAATCCATCATAATATTGATTAAGGGCCTATAATACACCAAATCATAGTCATTGAAAATTAATTAAACCACGCTTTCCGTGCATTACTTTTATAATTCTGACCCACATTTTCCATTATAATATCAATGATAGATCCCGCACCTGACGTCAAGAGTGATGCAGGTAGTATTTGGTCGGCAATTTACTAATTGATATCGGTGATACAATAAACCCCACTAGACGACCGGGCGATGGTAGGCCCTTTGTTAGCTAATCCAAGCAGGTATCAACTTTATCTCCAGATGATCCATTCCGAATACCATGGCAAAGTTCGATATAATAGTAACTATGTTATTATTCTTCGATGAATGTAGAGGGGATAGAAATTTGCTATCGATCATTCAATAGTACTGGAGGATGAATCTCTTTGAGGTGAGGATGAAGGGCCGAAAAGTGTAATGAACCTGAAATTGATATTGGTTTCGTTTCTAGAACGCAATACACTAGTTTTAAAAGTTAATAGCATTGGCGTATCCATTAATCGTTACACAAGAGGAAAATCGCGAAATGTATCGGTAGAAACCCACTGGTAATGATATACTCCTTAGTAGGGCTTAGTTCGAATCATCGGATCATCGCGTCGGGTTCGGGCGGTCGCTTTACCCGACTTTTTGTGAAAACATGCACTCTTTATTCAAGAAATGTCGGGGGTAATATTTGTGAAACAAACCCTAATTCTCATCTTCAAATGGTCTGGTCCAACTTACCCGACACTTTGTGTGAAAAGCCTACGGCAAATCTACGAAAGGTCGCGTGACCTTCCGCTTTCGTTTTACGTAAGGTCGCGTACGTATAACGCGACCACCCGACCGGACGCGATTATCTGATGATTCGTAGTAAGTCTTTAAAAGCGATTCTGTGATATGTGTCCTGTACGACTTAAATTTTGTATCCGTTTACTTAATCTAAAAACTAAAAATTTTGTGATAATATCACCATGGACTTATGGCAATGATACCAAATGAAGGTAATTATCCATGGTTTATCTCAAGCTATTTATTTTATTTTAATATATTTTGCCGAAAAAGTTTTGCGATCCAGTGGATAGGTCTGCGGAACTGTGGAGCATAGTGTACGGGGTTCGAATCCCTTCCATAACACTATCGTCCTTTGGCAAGACATTACTCTACATTTGCCACACTCCACCCAGGTGAGGTAAATGGGTACATGTGCGCTGATAACAGATGCTGTTCGGAGCCAAAGCTCCCGCCCCCCCCCCCCCCCACTCAGTGTTATTTAGGGTACGCATATGCTCGTACCCTCTTTTTGAAAGCACCCCCTATCTGAGGACTGCCAACATTTCCGAACCCCCCTTTCGCGGGCTTTTCGCGGGCTTTTCCTGCCTTGGAGACCCCCCTAAATCAGGAAAAATGCTCAATGTACCCCCCTAAAGTCGGAATAATTTCTCAGGAGTCCAAAGAGATGAGAGAAAAAAAGAAAAACACCCCCTTTTTAAAGAAATCTCCGGGTGAAAAGTCAAATACACCCCTTTTTTTTAAATTCTCGGGCCGGACTTTGTCGCACGAAAAGTACCCCTTTACCGGACATTTTGGCAACACGCATGCGGTCATTCCGACCTCTGAGTGGGGGGGGGGGGGGGGGGGGCGGGCCAAAGCTAGGGTAATACATTTCCATAATGTGTTATGCGCTGTACAAATACGGAATATTATTATTATTGATAGGTGAAAGTCTTATTCGTATGGGACACATTTTACGCAATTGAGAGAAAGAGGGAGAAAGAGAGACAGAGAGAGAGAGAGGAAGATAGAGAAGGTGGGGGGGGGGGGGGGGGGGAGGGGGAAAGAACCAAATGGGAATGGGGGTTGTTATGATCGATATAGCGCAGAGTTCAACAATTTTTGCATTATGACGTAATAATCGTTTACAATGAAACTTTGAGGAGTGAATGCGTGCGCATCAAATTATCACAATTGTCTTGACAACGAGCTGCATAAGTAGCTAGCCTATTTACTATACAGGTTATAAGATTTGTGATTTCGAAGTTGTGCGTTGAGTTCAAATTTATCTTGACATGTTAAAGGATAGGAGCGGGAAATATGGAATTTCACCAAACCGAAATAACGGCTCTGATCAGCAATAATCAAAATGGTACAGAAAATAACATCCAGGCTGAGAAAAAGACACTTGGAAGTTGCATAAATTGGACGCTTTTTAAACACCTTATATTGTTAGTTTCTCTCGTAGCCATTGGGATTTGGCTACAGACACCGTCAGGTAAATAATCATAATCATAATCATCATTATCATCATCATTTAATTTGTTATCATCATTCCATTATCGTCATTGCATCTATATCGTCATTATGATGATGATGATGATGATGATGGTGATAATGATGATGATGGTGATCATCATTATCATCATCATCATTATCCTTACTATCATCATCACCATCATAAATATCGTCATCATTACTTCTACTTCTACGACGATGCTCAGCAGGATCCATAGGTCAGGATGTAGTGCTGAGGAATAAACTATCTAGTTCTTGGTCTAGATTACGGGATGAGTAGCAGTGTAATGACATTTACGAACAGGGTAATGATAATATAGGGTAAAATAATATTTGAAGAATAGATAAATTGGAAACTAACAGTATAAGCATACTATAAAGTTAACTACCAAAAATAAAGACCAGGAAGTGGACACATGTGCACTGCCGGAGCGGCGCTGGTCGGGCAGCTGATGGGTACGTCTCTTTTGTAACCTGTAATATCCTGCCTGATACACCTGTTTCGATGACAAAATTACATTAAAGCTTATCTGCCATAGTTTATAGGAGGGATTAGATTGCCCGGCACGGTCACTGGACAGGTGGTTATCTCATCAACTCAGCTCTCAGTTAACATAAGAAAAAGAGGATCATGGGGGATCAATGGTCACCGATTAGGCATTGTTTGTTAAATAGAGGGCGCAAGTAGCTACAAGTAGTGCAGTGGGCCTTTAAAAGCACTCACTACTTCTTTTTATTTTCCACAGACGCATCAGAAGGCTTACGCAACTATGATGGAGTTCTTTGGGAATTCTGCGGCTACGACCCCGTAGCGGGAACGCCCCGTGACTCCATGTTCCCCGTCTACCATCCGGAGAGTGCCACCGTGCCGCGAGGGGAGGCCCGTAGGACAAGATTCAGGGAGAGATTTAGCTTTCTTTGGACGGAGACGATCGGGGCACCTAACTCTTTTCTCTGTCTTATTGCATCCTATTACCTGTAAACAAGGGTCACCCGCTACTATAAATGAACTAGGTATGCCTACTTTTCTTACTTTCATCCCCTTGTATTCCCGATAATGTAAATAATAGTAATCAAGGGAGGGGGCGAGCCTGCCCTTACTTTTACAAACCTTTTACAAATGAAATTGCCTAATTTTTGGTTTGTAGCATTCTTTATTGCATTCATTTAGTAAAAATGAAATATCATACATCTTTATTTTAATAGGCCAGTTTCGGCGGTTACGTAATGCGCGGTTACTGTAACCATGCTGTAACCAAGCCCGACAAGCTTTGTCAAATCGCCATTTAGAATCTGTACATTGTGTATTAGACTGTCGGTTCTTGCCGTTAAATTGCATTCATATCTTTCTATCAAAACTGCGTGTATATATATGAATTTCTGTTTTGGCCGGAAATGTCTTCCAACTTGCCATTCATCAAGCTGATTTTCAGGCAGCTGCAATATTTTCTGAGAAAAAGAGGAGTTTCGACTACGGTATACACCCGAGAAAAGACTCGTTAAATTAGCGTCCGCAGTAGCGGACTAGCCTGCCCGTAGCCCCTGCCCTACGGGGTCTGTGTCACTCGGTAGACGTGACTGTATGGGGAAATTACAGCGCGCAGGATTTTCGTTAAGTGAACTAGTTACATACCTCCCTTAAGTTTGACGATATTCCTGACTTTGGGACCTATGACGTATTCAATTATCTAGTAGAGAATATGGCGGACCATGCATTTACGATCGTCGAAAACTGAAGGCTTTTAAGAGTTTTGAAGACTTTCGATTGATATTATCCGATGGCCATAGATTATGTGGCCTGGAGAAGCTCGAGTACAATTAGCTCTCGGCAGCTCATGATAGCGACTTGTGACTAGATTCTACAGGTCAAATCGACGCCAAAAGACAGAACATACCAACTTGAACAAAAAGTAAAAATATATAAATAATAAACAAATAAAAAGTAGAAGTCTAGATCTAATAGAAAATGTAATAACAAATTTATTTTTAAATGTTTTTTTTTTTAAATAATAATAATTGCTTCTTGAAGTTGAATAACGAAGGTCCTGCATAATAATTTGTAGTCTAAATAGACTGTCTAATACTATTAATTTTTATTTTATGAAAATCAAACTTAATTCCTAATCTTATTCTAAACAATAAAGTTATTCATCATCCTGATTCTTCTTCCTTGCCATCATAAGGTTTTTTTATTACTTTTATTATTCCCTTTTTCCATTGCTCTATCATTCTTTTGCCTTGTTCATGGTTTTTCTTCATTTTTTCCATTCAAAATTATTTTTTTATCATTATTCATCATTCTTATTCTAGCTCTCTGTCATCGGACGATATTATTTTATAAATATTATTTTATTAACAAAGACCTTATAGTGAAATCATTATTACCTTAATTTATTGTCATTATTTCTCGTTGCTTTTGTTAATAATATTGATTCTGCGGTCAGTGCTTACTTCTCGTTAGCCGTTTCTCGTCCGCCTTGAAATAGTCCGTATCGAGGCGTTTCACAAACATTTTAATCCGTAAAATTGTTTTCATTATGAAAATGTGAATCGCGCCTACACGAACGACACGTGGTACGCGCGCACGCTTCTGCAAGCATAGGTGACTGTGTGTGCGAACGAGTGGAAAATAGTTCATCACTTCTTTCATTTCTACGTCCAAATTTGTTACTCAGTTTCAAGCTAATAAGGTAAATGCAAAATTAAATGGAAATTACCGATATCGGCTAGCTAACTTATATTTTGGTGCTTCGCTTTCTGTTTCATCAGTGGCTTTCA